GTCCCTTTCCATCTTCAAGGGAGGAACGAACGCCTTAGGAGATGAGGCCGGTGAGTCGTCATCTGGCCCTCTGGCTCTCCCAGACTCCTGCTCTGTCCACTCCTGCCCTGTTCCACCTCATTCTCTTTACTCCTTCGCATTCAATTTTTTTTTCTAAGTTTGTCTTCTGTAGCTACTCTACATCCTATATTGATCTTTTTGTTTTTTGTCTTTTTTCATTATTTAGAATTTGATTGTGTCTAACCAGAACTTGGGTCTTCCCAGGTGGTGCTAGTGGTAAAGAACTTGCCTGCCAATGCAGGAGATGTAAGAGATGCAGGTTTGACCCCTGGTCAGGAAGCTCCTCTGGAGGAGGACATGGCAACCCACTCCAGTGTTCTTGCCTGGAGAACCTCATGGACAGAGGAGCCTGGCGGGCTATAGTCCATAAGGTCGAAAAGTCAGACACGACTGAAGTCACTTAGCACGCTCACATGCAGTCAGAGCATAGACAGCTTTGGGGCTCTTTCCCAAACCCCCTGGACTCTTCCTGACCATCCTGCCCCACTCCTCATTTTTCTTATTCTTCCTCCCCAATCCCACCCAGACTGTATATCTGCCTCTGTATATGCTTTTCTTTGACCATTTTTGTTTGTTGGATGGGTGCGTTGTGTCTATCTTGACCCTTTTCTCCTTCCTCTTAAGTGTGTGGGGTAAAGCAGGAAAAAGAATTAACTTGAGCTGTGGGAAAAGATTGAGTTAAAAATGAACCACTGATAATTGGAAAAGTAATTTTAAGTTTAAAGCCTAACAAATGCATAAAATTGAAATTTAATTGATATAGGCAAGCAGTTATGCAAATAGTGCTTTTTGCCCATCATCTCATTTTGGTCAATTACATACTTTTTTTAATAGAACAACCAGCATTTTCTCCAGTGTCTTTAACAGTATTATACATTCTTAAAAAAATAAACAGAGGAAATCTTTTTTAGTCTATTTAAAGTACTGTGGTTGAAAAGGCAATTATGTGCCTTCTGGCAGTTTTCGGAGAGTAGCTATTCCCAAATGGAGCCTCCAAGGACAATTGCCAAAGCCCAGAGGAAAATCATTGGTGTGTAAACATCTTAGCCCAGCAGGGGTCTCCCAGCAGGGGTTGTTCACACCCAGTAAATACTGCTTAGGGTTAGAGCTTTCTGGAAGTCATTGGCACAGGAAGTTCTGGTGTCGCTGCCAAGATTTGATGTTTGCTGCTTGGGGCTCTAGGGGACACAGCGTGTGGCTCCACCACATCAGGAATCACAAGATCCAGCTCCACTGAGCCCACTGGGACTTTCTTTGAAAGGACTCTTGGAGAAATAGTGAAAGCAGGATTTCATGCATAGACAATGTCGGTGTTCACAGACAACTGGAGAAACATTTCGTTTAGTGTGTCTTAACTATGGTTAAACACACACACATTTGGCTGGCTCGGGTGTATAGAAATGCAGAAGGTGAGCCTTACACCCAGTTGCATCCCCATCTGTCCCTAGGCATAGACGTAACCTGCCAGGAGAAGGTACAAAAAGCAGCAAGTGGAAGATGTAGCAAGTGTGACTCAGTTTTACCCATTTCCCTAGAGAAGAGCAGGAAGAAAGCTAGAAGGGTGGTGGGGCAACTCAAAAAACTTGCTTAAGTGTCACCAGGGACGGGGTGATGTGGAAAATATAAGATCAAAGGCCTCCAGGGCTAGAAGTCATCCAGGCCAGCACTGCAGTGTGTGACTTTCACAGCACCCTCCCCTGCCTCCTCCCCCCAAAAGAGTCTATTCTGTTAGAGAGGAATAGCTACAGTTCTCCTTGCGATCGGGCAGATGAGGCTGGGCTGAAGGTTACACTAGAGTCTGATCATCATCTCAGGTCTGAGGAGCGGCAGAGGTAGGGAAGTGGGGTTGGAAAGACCTGAATGCATTCTTGCTTTGTCTTCCACACTGTGCTAGGGGCAAATTTTCCTAACCTCCCTGGGCCCTAATTTCCTTGTCTCTGAGATATATACTTACATACCTCCAGGAGTTTTTCCAAGGATTGAGTGAGGCAATATTAGTAAATGACCAGTTAGGCACTTAATAATAGGAACAGCTATTATTTTTATTCGCAAACATATGTAAAGTTTTCTTCCATTAGATTTGCAAGACAAACAGAAATTCGAGGAATAAATTATGCATCCCCTGGCTCTAGTCCAAATTATTAATGTTCAGATGAATCTGGGCAACTTGAGTTTGCTCACTTGAAAGTCAATGAACTGAAATCCACATGTCAGAGGTGGATCCCACCTCTGGGAAAATGAAAAGCTTGTTCATGGAGATGCCCCTGCCCTGTGCTAGCTTGAGGTGGAGATTTATTTTTCCACTTACACCAGATAAAGAAATTGCTTTAAGAGGCATTCAAACCTCTCTAGTGTTCACCCACTTCCACCCCTCTTCTTTCCTACTTCTCTTTCCAGCCTTGGGTGCGGCTTGTGGGATTTTAGTTACCTGGCCAGGCATTGAACCCGGGGCCTTGGCAGTGAGAGCACTGAGTCCTAACTGCTGGACCACCAAGGAAATCCCCTTCCTCCGTATTCAAACTTTCAAAATACACAGGTTAACTCCCCCAGCCATGCTGTTTTTTGTTTTGTTTTGTTTTGTTTTCCATCTCAGAACTATTTCTCATTTTCTTTTAACAAGTGTTCTAGAATTCCACATTAGAAAGCTCTAGGGAGCAAAAATCTTTAAAAAGCTGAGAATTAAAAAAAAGAAAGAAAAAAAAAGCCTTGAATATTTAAGTGCTGTTTTTCCCCCATGAAAACTCTGCTTTTACCTTTAGAACCAGTAATAGTTATAAATTAACCCTCACCTTACCATCTGCTGCTAGGTTGTAATTTCTCCATGATTCAAAGAGAGACAGGGTTTTGAGCTAGAATGCGAGGCTGGATTTTAAACAATACCTACACTGGTTCCTAACTAAGCTAATTTCTTATTTGGCAGACACCATTTTTCCAATCAAATCACTACAATCAAAGCTAATTTTTAGTTTTCTTTGATGCTGTGGTATCTTATCTGTATAATAATCAGAAGCTCTATTGAAAAATAAAAGCAGCAAAACAAACAAAAGCAGGCAACACAGAAGTCTTCAGAAGAGCACTCTGAAACATCTATTTCTGGATCCCAGTTTATCTCTTCTGCCCTATTTTCAAAAGTTAAATAAGCTCTCATGTTTAGTTTATAGCAGGGAAAGGCTTAGCTATATTGGTAGAAGAACCTTAAGCTCTGTTCAACTTTAAGGATAAGAATTAGCCAATATCAAAGCAAAAAGGAGGAGGAAGGGAGGGAGGAGAAAAGAGATCTCAGTACCCAAAACCTTTCCATTTTTGGAGCTGGAAAGACCTGGGACAGATACAATAGGGAGAGGAGAGGGGAGGTAGGAATGGAGATAGAGATCCTGTTTTTGAATAATACTGGAAAGAATAGCAGTGTTAGCTTTATGTACATTTTGTAAAATATTCTGGCCTTTTCTGCTCTGAAGCTTAAAACAACATGGAGACAAGGACTGGCTGTCAACATATTACATTGGGTTTTCTGACTTGTCTTTGCCAGCTAGTTCACGTGCTTGGTTATTTAAAGCTGTACTGATTTTAAGGGGAGTTGGGTCTTTGTTCCACATTCATGAATTCTGAATTCAGGTTAGTGAGCTATTAGAAAATGCCTAACTCTTGTTGGCGAAATGCTTTGGAGGGGTCGTCATGGATATAAGTGACTAAATATCCTGGGTTTCCAGGGCAGTCCCAGCTGAAAAACCTGTTCCAGTGAGAGTACCTGTGGTCTCATTTTTAGTTCCACGAAGCCATATCCACGAAGGGTTCAGGTCTTGCTTCTGCAAGTCTTAGTGCCTGGGTCGGTGTTCAGCTTATTTAGAGACCTGTGCTTAACAGTGGCACTAGTGGTAAAGAACCCACCTGCCAGTGCAGAAGACGTAAGAGATAGCGGTTCAACCCCTGGGTCAGGAAGATCCCCCGGAAGAGGGCATGGCAACCCACTCCAGTATTCTTGCCTGGAGAATTCCATGGAAGAGGAGCCTGGTGGGCTAAAGTCCATAGGGTCGCAGAGAATCGGTTATGGCTGAAGTGACTTAACAGATACACACACATACCCCACCCCACCCCCGCCCTTGGAGAGCCATCTCCCACCACAGAAACCCGTGTGAATTTGACTTGATCCAGGGTCACAATTTAGACAGTGACCCCAAGTGGCACTTTTGCAGAGCAAATTATGTGAGGATCTGCTGAGGGCGTGTGGGGCTCCAAGGAAGGAAGGCTATCCGAGGGACTCGTTTACAGTGGAATCAAAACGAATGATGACAAGGGGTTTCTCAAACTGTTTTCTTAGCTGCACTACCACTTTGCTAAACGATTTTGCTTTGAGTTGGCCCCAGAGTTCATTCAGGTCTTCCCATTAGCTGTTAATGGAAGAAACAGAACGAACTTTGGGGCCAACTCAATGTATGGAACCTTAGCATATGAAATGGGTCACAGCTGAGCCAGGCAGCTAGAAACCACACCTGGGGCCTCCCCATCCCACTGGGCAGGCCTGGGTAGTCTGAAACTCAGCAGCATAGACCAGAGACAGTGCCAACACCCAGGCGTCCGTCTCAGCCTGTTCCCACTCAGCCAGGCTGGGGACCAGCTTTGCTTGTGGAAATTCTCTGGAGAGGACCTTTAGCTCTTTGTCCCCGTGCATTTCTGGGTGTCGGGGGCAGTCTTCCCCCAGGATTTGTGAGTGCACCTTCATGACAACAGGTCTGTTTGGTTGGGTGGGTTCTCCAAATGCAGCTCTGAACTGTGTGGTTTGCCATGGTGTAGCTTCTGGTGCTTGGCTCATCCTCTGTCCTCTGGGCTCCTGGGTGTGGCTGGACAACAGTCTGAGCAGGATGGTGGCAGTGGGGAACGTGTCACTCAGTTCTCTTACCTGAGCCGGATGTCTCCTGATTACATTTTGTTTTGTTCACTAGATGATGACTCAGATCTGTATTCTCCTCGATATTCCTTTTCTGAAGACAGTAAGTGGCTTAGAATTTCTTGGTTGTGGGGGTGGAAGGGAGAGTGGTGGACAAGGGAAGGATCTCCCTGTTTTCATCCATTTTAAAAGTCTTTTGCACTCACTTTTTCCTTCTCCAGCAAAATCTCCCCTTTCTGTGCCTCGCTCAAAAAGTGAGATGAGCTGCATTGATGGTGAGAAGGTAGTTAAGAGGTCGGCCACACTTCCCCTCCCGACCCGCTCTTCCTCACTAAAATCAAGCCCAGAGAGGTAAGTGTTCTCATCAGCTCCATGATTTTAGGCTGTAATACACAATCTCTTTCTCTGAGTCAGGCAGCATTGGAGCCAGGTGTCAAGCAGACCTGAGTTTGAATCCCTGCTCTATCACTTATTAGCAGTGATTTATTTTTTTGACTCTTAATGTTCTCATCTTTCAAATGGGGAAACATTTTACATTCCTTGGGATACTGCAAGGATAAAACAAGATAATGCATGTAACATATCCTGTAGTCCTGGCCCATCAGATGGGCTTAATGTTGAGAATAATTATCATCACTCTTTCCCTCTTCACAAGAGGAATCTTGAACTATAAGATTTGTCATGTGTTTTAATACTCTCTGTGCATACTGATGGGGCCCATAGCAGAGAATATAATTTTAAAATGAAGCTACACTTTTTAGTATCTCTTTATTTATTCAACACATTATCGAAACATAAGGCTTGATGGTTGAAATGATATTTGTCATCTCTTAATGCTCACACTAAGTGAACCAGTTGTCTTTTATTGAGTCTTATGCCCTTGGGAGCAGCTTCCAGGGCATCTGGACTGGTGTCCCAGGCATCTCCCAGTTCCATCTTCTAACACTTTTCAACCCCAAACGGGTTCTGGCTAAACAAAATTATTTTCCCTTTAAATACACACTGTTTCATACCTCCAAACTTTTTCCATCTTCATGACAAATGAATGGCTATTTTTGAAATCCCACATATATGTACATGACATCTGCTTCAGAGTTTGATAATTAATTTGAAAGGAAGGCTGGGTGTACCTGCAAATCTTTACAATTGCATTCATTAAGCACCTACTGGGTGCATTCTGTGTGTAATTGAACAAGATGCTATGGTGCACATTGGACACATAAATCATTGTCCCTGCCTTCACAAAGTTTATAGCCTTGTAGGAAAAACTGATTATAATCACAGTGCAAAATGCAATTATGTGCCTATGTGAAAATTTTGCAAATAATTTTCAAGGCTTCATGTATCCTCTGAAATCTCCCACTGGATCAGGTTAAGTACCTGTGCCAAAGGCTGCATTTTGGGTGATTACCAGGGTAGGGTGTGGAACAGGGAAGAAGAACATGGTTATAAAAGCAAATAATGTTGCGAACTTCCGTGGCAGTTCAGCGGTGAAGACTCCATGCTCCCAGTGCAGAGGTTGCAGGTTCAATCCCTGATCCGAGAACTAAGATCCCACATGCCACATGGGGCGGCCAGAACAAACAGACAAAACAAGACGAAAGTGTTTACAGTGGTTCCTGTAGGCCTGGTGTTTGGCAAAGTGATTTACATGCTGAGACACACTGTCTCATTAATCCTTACAACAACCGCACTTACTCCATGAGTAAACTGAATTCAGTAGAGGCTAAGTGCTTGGCCCAGAGGAGCCAGCTAGCAAGGGCTGCAGTAGGGTTGGAACCACAGCTGCCTGGCTCTGGGTCCTGCATTCTCTCTCACTGCACTAGCCTGAGTGGGAAGTACAGGCATGTCTGGGAGATGATAAGCCCCTGAGAGCAGAGCAAGGTGAAGGATTTTTTCCAGCGCGCACTTTGCAGCTGCAGCTGCTGCCTTGCTTCCCTTTCTTGTCTCCCTGCTTCCCAGTGCCTGGTTGTGAGCATGGGACACCGCAAGCCTTTTGTGAAGCAAACACAGGGATCTAACTGGTTGCTTGAAGAAGGAAACCACAACTGGGCGCTTTGTCCAGAGTCCCATTTTGTGCCTCGGATATAAAAATTCCTTGATTAAACTACAGTCGGCCAAAGTCGTCAGACCTGTCGGATGCCAATTTTCATGAGAATAGCTCTAATAGGATTTTCTTTCTACAGGACTGACTGGGAGCCCCCAGATAAGAAAGTGGATACAAGAAAATACCGCGCAGAGCCCAGAAGCATTTACGAGTATCAGCCGGGCAAGTCCTCTGTTCTGACCAACGAAAAGATGGTAATGTGCATATTCAAGTGCTTTTGTCTCACCCTGCCCAAGTTCTTTAATCTGGATGCATTGTGCGCTTGGATTACATTCTTTCTCCCTTGAGATAGACTTGCTTTGTTTAGAAGACAGTGACAATATGAAGTATTTTTACCCTTTTCATTTGGCAGGTGTTCACAAAATAAGTGCTGAGAGTCTGCATTGGAAGAATCCTGTCACTGTGGCTTTGTTGTTCTTTTTGTGCATGGTTTTCACTAATTTTAAATCTGCTAGTGTAAAGGTTGATTTTGCTGCTGTCTTTTTTAAAAACATCTAACCATTCGTTTATCAGGCTTGTTGCTAACCAGACTAAAATTGTAGTTTTAGAGGTGACTCATATTTGAACATGCATACATTTTGTAGAAGTTACAAGTACATCATTAAAAACCAGATAATTAATATGATGATGTTACTTGGAGGGAAAAAAAGCTCCAGGCTGTTAGACTATGGCTTTTAGATCTTCCTTTTCTGACAAGTTCAATAGAGAGAACACATTGCATGTTCCATCTATTTGTGGTTCCCTATACAAGTTCACATCTCCAAGCAGTTATCAGTGGGGAGCATGGCCTGTATGGGCATAGGAGACCACCCTGTGAAGGCAAGGGAGAATTTTTACAAACTGATTAGTTTCATATCTGCCCGTCACACTTCCTTTTATTCACCCTTCATTAGAACAAGATGGTTTCGGAATTCTGATCATGGTTAAAGGGACCTCCAAGGCTCCATAAACCCTGCAGCCCTCCTGCCTTTCCAGCAGGAGGGAATTGTCATGCTGGGGATTGATTCTCATTAAAATGCGGTTACCACACTGAGTCCAGAATAAGAAGGCCCCTGAAATGTGTGTTCAAATTCTTCTCCCTCCGCCTCTTTTGCTCTACATGTTTTTAAGGAATAATTGATTTGACTTTTACTAAAATACAAAGGTGACGTCTTTAAAAGCACAAAGGGGTAAGTAATTTTAGTTAGGGAAAAAAGGTTCAACAGTTCACCAAAATGCTTCAGATTTGTCATTCTCCGGCATTTACTGTGCACCAAAGTTATTTTAAGCAAAAAGTTCTGAGAGGAGTAGAGAATTTTGCCTCTGTCTCCTCCCTTCACTGCAGGTTCTCTCTTTGTGAGAAGGTAATAAACATGGAAGGTAACCTTCCACACAGGTCTTCCTAGAAAGAAAGTTATGTCCTTTGAGTATGTTCCTGACACTTGAATAACAAGCAAGGGACATACATCATGTATCTGTACACTTCTGTGCTTTCAGGTTCTGTAGGCCCCTGGGTGCTTTTGTTTTGGTGATATTATTATTCATAGATGGTCATTGCTGTTACTGAAAGCTTTCCCCTTAATTTCTCCTTTGTTTCCTCTTCCTTTCCTTCGTTCCTAATAATTTGACCACTACTCAAAACTAGGGGGGAAAAAACCCCAGAATCCATAATTGTGTGCTCATTGATACCACAGTGATCACAGTGTCCTCCATATCATAGTGCTTGGGAGCATTTATATTGTTTTCACAAACCCTGAGAAGTAGCTCACTCTGCCCACGGGCCCCACTTTGGAGAGTTGTGGTGACCATACACGTGGGTGGTCAAGCACCATCTGGCTGTTCCCACACAGGAAGCCCCTCCGGCTGTACCAGGGCCTGGGCCAACCAGTTAGGACATAAGACCCAAGGCCGGCCAGAGAGGAACATTGCTGTCTAGCTGTTTGTTCCCAGAGAGTAGTTTTTCATTTTAGAGAGAATCTTCACTTTTTCATAGTCTGCTCTTCACAGAGGTGGAAACAGTCCTTTATTTTTGAATTTTTCTTCCTGCTGTTTTTGCCACATGAACAGAAAAGTTGGATTGGGAGTTTCAGTGTGAGTCCTGCCTTTCGGTTTCGCTGTTTGGTTTGCCAGAATTTGAGGGGCCCCTTCTTCCCCAATCACCACCACCACACTCACACGCATGTGCACACGCACACATTTTTGTGGTGGTTAGCTGTGAATAAGTGTGCTAACTAGAGACAGATAGAGAATCTAAATTTTCTCCCAGAAAGGCACATCTTTTTTATGGGGGAGAATCCCTATTTTCCCCCAGTGTTTTTCCAGCTGGAGATGCTTGTGTCTGCTTAAGCCTGGCAATTTGAACTGCGACTTCACAGGCACATCTGTCCTGTTCGCACAGAGGGCTGACGGGTAGACCGTGAAGATTGCCTTGGCATTCATCTTGTCCCTGCAGCAAACCCACAGCATCCCAGACAAACACTGTGCTACCTGCAGGAGATTCGTAGGAGATTCGCAGCCTTGATGACCTGTTCAGCTATTTGACAAACTCATATGAAGTTCTTTATTACTGTTTGGCCTCCCTCTTATCACAGTATTAGCCCATTTTCTTCTCTTCTGGTCTTGGAGTTGGAGAGCTACTGGTTGGTCCCTGCTTTGTCAGAAATAGTTTTTTTTTTTTTTTCAGGCTGTAGTTCTTTTACATACTTTACATACCTCCCAAGTCCCTTTGAGAACTGAACCTCAGCTCAATTCAATAAATATGTACAGTTGATCCTTGAACAACACAGGTTTGAACTGCACAGTCAACCTAAACGTGGATTCTTTTCAATAGTAAGTGTTATAGCCCTGCACGACTGCAGTTGGTTGAGTTTGTGGATATGGAGAAACCCTGGATACTAAGGGCCTGCTGTAAATTATACTCAGATTTTCAACTGCATGCATCCCTGAGGCCCAGGTTGTTCAAGGGTCTGCTTGTAGAATAACATTTATGTGCCAAGTCCTAGGTTAGATGTTGGGGTTCCTGCTCCCATAGGGATAATGTGAGAAGGACAGATGTAAAAATCATTATTACAAACACAATATTTATTTGGAAGTGTAAAACATGGGGATTTACCCAACTTAGTTTCTCCCCAGTTCAGAGTCACCTTGAGCTCCCTCCTGACTTTTCAAGTCTGTCACTCGCCCCTGTATTAGCTTGGTATCATCCACAAACTCAGCAGCCCCACCCCCTTCTCCTGGGGAGTATGAGAAATGTAAGCAGCACTGGACTAGGAATTGGAAGGTTTCTGAGTTCCAAATTCAGATTCGGACACTGCCTTATGTCTGGGGGCATCACTTAACTTTTCTGAACAACCACAGTGTTTTCACCTGTAAAATGGAATTATCTGGCATGCCAACCTCGCTGGAGCATTGAGTGAGAGGGTCACATGTGATAACGTGGGTAAAAGATCTGTGAATATAACAAAGTACCATGTAAATGAACACGCCACTTTCAGATTCTTTAATTACAGTCTGAAGCTAGTCTCTGGCTCCCGTCCAAGCAGCAGAACTATTCTTCTGAACAATCAGGCATTTTCCTCGTGAGTCCCCTGCCTTTTCTGAGGATTTTGCCAAGCTGGGAAAAGTTAGCTCCCTGTCGCAGAGACCTCAGCCTGGCTTTGTGGAATCTGCTCTGCCTGCCAGAACAGAGAGCCTGCTCTCCATCCAGAAGGACAGTCCCCTATTTGTCCATTCTGTGCTTCAACCTAGAAAGGAGTTATCAGCGCAGAATCACGTGCTGCGTGGTATTTATTACCTCTTTAGCTTTCTCGCTGGGCAACTCCAAGGACTAAGGTTGGCTGCTCTGGGTGCAAGCTGGTTGACATGCCTCCTGATTCAATTCTCAACCCAGCATTAACCTTAGTAATAAAACAATCTATGAACAACCTTTGACAATAAAATGGGTTGATTCTTTCAGAACTGAGTACCAGGACATTCAGGCAGTTTTCTGAAAAAGTTGGTACATTTTGTTTGTAAAAAATGGAAAAAAAAAAAGCCCAAATTATTCCCAGAGAGCAGTTTATAAATAGTCTTTTAAAGTAGCAAACATGAATAGGCTTCATGAAGCCCCATGATACAAGGACCTAGGGTGTCCCCATGTCTAACCTGTCCCTCCTAAATGGTGGTGTCCTTGTAGGTATTGCACCTCATTTCATTGAATAAATATAGATTCCAGTATTTTACAGAATTACAGAATCCACTGAGATGGAACACACATTCTCCAGATTTTAAGTTCCTCTGCCCCTCAAGACAGTTGGAAGAAGGTTTAGTCTGAATGCAAGAGGACAGACTGTTTCAATACATATTTTCCTTTGATTTCAACTAACTTCTATTCAGTTAATTTCAGCTAAAGGAAAGTTATCTACCAAATCTTCCTGGGTTTAAAGCAAAAATAGAAATAATAGTAAGGATTCTTATAGGGATCTTAGAGACTGGTGAAGGTCACTAAGAAAGTTTACAGCCATTTCAACAAGCTGCAAAAGACCTGTTACCTGAATGTTAAGAAAAATGTGTCCAGAGGAACTGCTTTGTGAAGGAGTCACTTGGAGATGTGTCCACAGGACGTGCAATTTCCTTTCTATGTGTTGTGGCCCTGAGGGCATGTTTCTTATGTTTTCAATCTCAATGGAAAATGTATATTTTCTATTTCGTTTTGTCAGGATATCACCATTTCTCTCTTTTGTGACTATTAAGATTTTTTGAAACATATACACATAAGAATTAAGCCGTGAGCCTCTAACAGTTTCATCTGATGTGATCATATCTCCAGTTTATTAAGGGGAAACTGATTTGCTTTCCAGGCACTCATTTTCCAACTAATTATTTCCAGAAACATATGCTCTTCCACAGAGCAAGGTATCAGAACTTTATAAATATTTGAAGAAACATGAAATCCCAAGGAATCAAATTATCAGTCTGTGAATTACCTCTTAGAGCTGTATAAAATGAGAAAGCTAACTTATTTTTGTAACATAACCCAGAAGTTTCTCCCCCGTGTTGTTCTGTTATCTGTCTTGTTCAGCTTTTTCCTTTATTTTTTTCCCCAGTTCTTTAACATTTATCTCTTAAAGCACAAGGTATATCTGTCTGTATTCATCCCCCATGGATGCTTGTTTAAAATGTTTTTTCACTTGTGTCTTCTGTTTTTACTTACATCATCTTTCACTTTACTCTGTGTGGGACTTGGTTTCTCACCTACTCATGTGCCATTAAAGATGCAGTATTAACAAATTGGCTTTTATTAAAGTGTCAGTATTTGCTGTTGATTTGTTGATCTTGAAAACCTGAAGACAGCCTTGCAAATAAGCACTAAAACCGTACTAGCCCATAAAAGTGTTTGCTCTACTCATCTGGCGTAGATGGCTAAATGTTTGGTGTGTTCACCAGGTTATTATTTGCTTGTAACTCTTAGCTCTTTGGAAAGAGAATAGAGGGGCTCTCTATTCTCCCACCACTCTGGCAATTACCAAGGAAAACTGTCATGCCCATGTTCAGATGTGTTGAGAGGGCAGCCGTGGGGTACAGTGCTCTCCATCCGTGTCCCTCTGCCTGGGAACCGATGAACAATTCCCTCACTGCTGCCTACCTCAGTGTCCTGTTTTCATAAACACATCCTTTCCTGCCTGTTTCAGCTCTTGATTTTGCTCATGTCTGTAAAAAAAAAAAAAAAGGATGATTGCTGCTGTTGAATGCAGGTGCTGTATATTTCTGGAAACCACTGCATCTCTACTGGCCGGTTCCTATGTAATCTCTGCATAATGTTATCCTTCTCTTTCTTCCATTTCCCTGTCACCAACCCCTATAGAGTCGGGATATAAGTCCAGAAGAGATAGATTTAAAGAATGAACCTTGGTATAAATTCTTTTCGGAATTGGAGTTTGGGAAACCGGTAAGTTTAATAGCTTCAGTGGTTATAGACACCGTTTTAAATAATGCTGTTGATGCATTGTTGCTGCTAAAGAATCAGATCTGTTTGTAAAGGGCTCAGGAAGTGGGGAACAGCTTCGTTGACTGTCAGTAGTAGGATTGTCAGTTCTCACTACAACATGTGAGCTTTCCACTGCTTTACTTCACCAAGAAGGGACAGTGAGCTCTGGGAAGTGTTTCTTGCTAGAAGATTTCAGGGAGACACGGCTAGATCATTGCTTGACTTAAGACCTTTCAGCACTAGCAACAAATATCACACACCTTGTAGACTGCATTATTTCAGGCTTCGGTTCAGTCCCTTGAACAAAGGCTTCACAGTGTGCTGAAGACAAACAGGAAAAAGCGTACATACTGAGAAAGGCCAGCATTGTCCCTGTTTTAAATAGAAATTTTAGAAGCAAATATATAAGAGAAGTGACAAAGCAAAGGGAAAAGGGCCTTTCTGTGCACAGGTGGTCTGAGAATGCCACCCTGTTACAGGCAACTTTTAGGGAATGATTTCTATGAGGTAGGGATAGTATTTCCCAAAATTACAGATGAGAGTTAGGAATTCTAGCAAACTTAGTATTCAGCCCAATAGCCTGCAAATTCTGTGATGTATCTGAGTTGGCTTTGGTACAAATTGATTTTTGGCAATTCAAGGAGGATTTTCTTGGCCTTGCACCCAAAGGAGTATCAAACAGAAGGGAGAACTGAGCTCATTTTTCCACTGGACATAACTGGAAACTGACTTTAAAACTTCAGTTACTTTAAAGTCTTAATTATGATAGCAGCAAAAAGAATTTACAAGTGGAGGGATTAAATAAATTAAATAAATGTATAAAAATAAAACATTCTATTAGATGTTTGTATGAGACTTTAAGCATTGAATCTGGCACTTGAATCACATGATTTAGAATAATAGTTGTGTTTTTTTGCCAGATAGCTTTATAGTTCAGGAAAATGTTAAATTTCATAGTATACTTTTTATGAAGATGAAGACAGAGAAATTTAGCTGGTGCTCTGAAATTGCTCATTTGATTGAGCCGTGATGAGCTTTGTTGGACTGTTCAGGCATTTTCAGAGTTAGGAGCACCTGACTTGTAAACACTCCACTCGTAGGAACAGGCAGTCCTACTTTGTCTTCTCTGAGTCCCCTACTATCAGCCAAGCAGCCCTGGATGAACACCGCCACCTAGTGGTCAGAAGCGAGGGACGCATCCAACCCAAAGTGCACAGTCTCCTCCCCTCCTCAAAGCTTTGGTGCACTCCTCACTTCTCCTCTCTCCCTTTTTTCTCTGCTGTCCACCATTCACACATCAATGAAGTCTACCTCCCACAGTCTTTTCCACGTGCAGAACTTTAGCAATATCCTAACCTTTTTCTTTTTCCTAAAACCTTCTCACTTGTCTCACAATAGAAAAAACCTTTGGAAATGTGTTCCCCCAAAAAAGACGATGATTAGTATATGCAATAATAATGCCGTACTTTCATCAGAGAAAGAAAGTGATATTAACTTTATTTTTTTTCAAAAATCCAATTTATTATTCAGGATTAGCTACAACTAACAATTTTTCATAAACTCCAGTTATAGGTATTTTTTCCCTGAGGGAAAACAGAATGTTAAGTCTTTGGTGAGGCTATAATTAAACATTATATTTTAAGTCAAAGAAGAGGAATCATCACGCATGTAAAACAACTAGTAGCAGCGGAGACCAAGACTAATTTATATTACAAAGTAAAAAATGCCAAATATTAAGAGAAAGTCAAGCATTAAATTGTTGATAGTAAGGAGCCTGTGCCATCGATTTTTTAAACCCTGTTGAGAATCTATAATTTCTAGCCATCTCCTCATTTGCCAAATAACTAGTTTTACTGAAATATTAACTTTTAGGGAAAGTTATGAAGCCATTTTTTTCTAATTAATTGTGACTGGTTTATTATTTTACTAAATCTGTCATTGTAATTAATACTCTTTCTGTTAGCAATTGACAGCATTTCAGTCACAGTGTGCCTAGATAGGCTCTGTGAATAGCTCAGTGAATTAATTGTTTCTATGGGAAATGGTAGTCTGAACACCACACAGCCAATCCAGACAAATGTTGAGAAAACAGTCCATCTGTGTACTGGGACCTTCCTGTAATTTGTGTTCCTACCCTCTTGTCCCCACTGACTCTTAATTATTTAAAGGCTTAGAGATGTTTTTCCAAAATGCCATTTTCTCTAAAGCCAGAGTGTTCCTTACATAGACCTTAGATTTCTTAAATGGGACTACTGCTTCTTGTATGGTCTTTTAAAGTCAAAAAGATGATACTTTTGAAGACTTGCCAAAGTAGCTTAATCAATGCCCATATCCTGAGGAATAGCATTGAGATGAACAGGTCCTTATGGTGTGAGGCATAAGGGTGAGCTTGTTACCTGGTTGAACCAGACTGATGACTGGATAGTACTCCCAGGGCTTGCGAGGAAGGTGTGATGGGGAGAAATTGTTTCCTTCTTTTCACTTCTCCTACCCCAATCAACTCTGTGCCATTAAAGAGTAAGAGATAGAAATAAAAGGGGTATAAACTGTGGAAGTTGTTTTGGAGGGTTTTTCAGTCATTTGGGAGCAGAATGAAGTTAAAACTCCAGTCAAAGCGTGTGGATCATCGTTTCTCCTTTTTATTCCACGTGAACCTAGGACCCGCTTCCCAGCAGTAAAGCCAGCCAGAACTGTAGATGTTTACCCTGCACTCCTTTCTTCCTCAGCCCCTTCACTTAAAGCCACCCTGATTTAGTGAGCTGAAGCTTCAGTAAGACCCTGACTATAATACCTTTTAGGTCTAACGAGTTGTAGAGTATCAACTTATTTAAGACTTCAGGGACCATTCGGGGAAGATGATTTAAAACCAATTTTATTTGTAAGCACTGTCTAATATTTTGCAGGAAGTAAATGAGTAGGGCTAGCATCAGTGACTTGAAAAAGTCTCCATCCCCAATAAGATTCAAGTGTATTAAGTGCTTAAAGATGAGTGATAATTGTCAGTGGCACTTACTCTACAAATTGCAGAATATAAGCATACAGAGATCATGTTACTGACCTGCTGATGTTAGTGGTGAAAGTGCCTTGGAATCAGGTTACTTTTCATCTATAAATTCATTACAAAGGACCTGGGTGTCAGCCGTTTCTTCTTCCTCCCTCCCCACTAAAATTTTGACAAAATTGATGTGATTTCTGTAAGTAAGCTCAAGGTGAAATGTAAAACTAATTTGAATGCTGCCACAGAGTTGTTTATGATGAAATTTGTGCAGAATGATAGGAGTTATTAATGAACTCGTGTCCTCAGAGGTCATTGTGTAAGAAATTTCAAGTCTAAGCAGGCAGAACAAAAAGGTATACAGAGTGGGAAAGAGATGCAGGTTTAGACGTATCTTGTAACTTCCAGATATCCTCTCCTCTGGTCCCCTCTTGGGGCTTCCATGGTAGCTCAGCTGGTAAAGAATCCACCTGCAATGCAGGAGACCCCGGTTCAATTCCTAGGTCAGGGAGATCTGCTGGAGAAGGGACAGGCTACCCACTCCAGTATTCTTGGGCTTCCCTGGTGGCTCAGATGGTAAAGAATCCACCTGCAATGCGGGAGACCTGGGTTCAACCCCTGGCTTGGGAAGATCCCCTGGAGGAGTGCTTGGCTACCCACTCCAGTATTCTTGCCTGGAGAATCCTCCTGGATGGAGGAGCCTGGTAGGCTACAGTCCATGGAGTTGCAAAGAGTCGGACACGACTGAGCAACTAAGCGCACACACTGGATCCCCCTTAAAACAATTCTCCTGGCAGATTGCTACTTTGGGAATTCCCAGACATAGCAGATTGCTACTCATTCTAACAAGAGGGAGAAGAAAACGAAAATAACCTGTTTAAATTCAAAGTATAAACTCTTTCCTCTAAAAGAGATGGAAGGTCTGCCTCTACCATCAGCAATGTTATCAAGGCTTATTAAACTGTAAAAGATTTAAAAAATTATCTGATGAAATTGTCTAGTTATACAGCATAACATTTAACACCTGGTTTATACATGGATGTCCTTGCCACAAATCACAGAAAGCACATTTAGCACCATTTACCGACCCTTGGTCAGATCTCCAAATTCACGCATTTGTGAAGACATGATAAAATTTACAGTGGGAAAGACTACCTCCAAAATATAGGCTCACAGTGTCAGCCTTAGTTGGAAAAGAACAATGTGGAATTGAAATGTTTCTGTTTTCATTCAAATTGGTGTTAATGCTTTTTGTTTGTTCTTTTTAAAGTTTTGATTATTTCGTATCCAACGGTTATTTCCCCGAGACTTAGATGTAGAAACAAACCTCCCACTTCACGTTTCCAGCTCCCGAGAGTTCGTGGGGTCCCCAGGCAGCCTCAGGAGGCAGAGTGCCTGCTCCTTCCGTTTTTAGTTCACTTTTCTGTGTTGAGACAGTTCTCCTAATGTTGCCCCTCTTTGTTTGAGCCGGTCTCCATGTTTGTCTTTATGTCTTTATGCTCATTTCTTCATTTCCTCCTCTGCTTCCCGTCAGCCTCCCAAAAAGATATGGGATTATACTCCTGGAGACTGCTCTATCCTTCCTAGAGAGGATAGAAAGGTAATTCCGCTGTGCTCCTCCTGCGGGCTGTGTGTATGCTCTGGCCTGACTAGTGTGAGTGTGTTGTGGGGTGTTTCTTTTAATAAATCCCCCCCCTTTTTTTTTTAAAAAAAACTTGATTATAATTTTTTGTTTTTGATTTGGTGATAAAACAGTTTAACAAAGTCTCTAAGACTTATACTAATATGTAGAGGTTTTAAAAGCAATTACTTATTCTACTGACATATAGTATGTGTCATAGTCACCATACTCTGTAAAGAGAGAAAAATAGGTATTTCCTCAAAGGTAGGTTTTTGTGGTATGTGTAGTTCCTCTCTTTAGCAGGTAGAGTAGCATTTTGGAGCTCTGATTGCCACAGGATTTATATTCTCTCTGCCTAATGCTGCATTCTCGGTTTTCCTGCCTTTAACTCATTTCTAGTAAGCTCTTGTATTTTAGTCATGCCCATCTTTGCCTTATTAACGTATGACACTAAACAAACTCATTTTTCTAATGTAAACTTCCATGCTGTCTGCCTTTCCTCCTAACTAAAACGCTCTTTCCCATCTTTTCTTTCTTGAACCAGACTAATCTAGAAACTGATCTCAACCTCTGCCAAACAGAGTTAGAGGCAGATTTAGAAAAAACGGAGACGCTTAATAAAGCACCCAGTACAAACCTGTCACAGGTATTTCTGAGTTTTTCTCATGCCCTCGGCCCCCTTTGCTCTCTTCTTTGTTCTGTGGTTTTTGATGTAGTGGGAGTGATGAATGGTTATGCTGATTATTTTTAAGATGCATGGCTTTCTGACTCCTGGTTTAGATCCCCCTTACCCCCTAACTTAATTTTTGCTTGGATTTTTTTTTTTTTTTTAGCTTGGCATTTTCCTTACAGGGAATTTTTCAGATATATATATATGCAGGCTGGCTGGTGATTTAGCTGCTCCCCTGGCCTTACCATCCTCTTTCTCTGCTTTCAAGGGGTCACCCTTACAGCTCCCCTCTGCCTCCTTGGGCGTATACCTTCTCTGAATTTTCAGGGAGCCTTTTGTGGGCAACTTCCGTAGATTTTTTGCAGCCCTGGGAGATACAAACCTCAGAGATCATTTTCAAAAACACGGCTGCTGTGAATCGAGAGCCTCTTATGTGGGCGGCACCGTCAGAGTAGTAGTATTTGTAATTTGCAAGGTCAGAAAGTTCTTAATGAAAAAATGTGCTCCGGAGGCCAGACAGCCTGGCCACATGCATTTGAAACTCAGCCTGCATTGATATTTTTACAGAGAGCTATGTCCCAGTGTGGTTTATTAAAGGATGTGTCAGAGAGAAAAGAAAGTCCAAGATAAATGGGCTCCCAAGGGAAAGAAAAATACCAAATGTTTGGAGAACGGCTCCCCATGGCTGCCTGACAAAACAAAGGAGACTCTTAACCAGGAAAGGGTATCTTTACAGAAAATAAAAAAGGAATGCGGACACTGCTGAAGAGGCTAGGATGCCCACAGACTATGGCGGGAGACATGGAAAATGCTAGCGGACCACGTTATTCTTAAACAGAACTGAGACAAGGAGGGTCAGGCCACCAGTATAGGTTACTTGGATATAAAATCACGTAGAGCCAGAGACTCAAACTGGGTGATCATGGCCACAGCCAAGGGGGCCAGGATAAGAGGGGGAAGGAACTGCAAGCAGATCCAGGGGAGTTAGGGTTTGGGAGTCCAGAGTCCCCAGAGGAAGAGTTAGCCTGCAGGGACCAGGGGTTAGGCCCAGGGGAGTGCAGAAGATGGGCGACAGTGCTCGCAACCAGGCAGATAGGTGACGGGGTGGGCACGGTAAGGGGCTGAGTCTCCAACCAGGGCAGAGACTGGCAGCAGCTGTCGCTCTTGTGGGAATGGAGGTCTGAGCTGGTTCTGAAGGAGAATTGTGGCTGTAGGTAAGTCCTGAAGTGAGCCAAGAGGCAGGACGGGAGCCCCAGCCAGTCAGCAGGCACTTGTTTCAAACCTAGAGAGAGTGGTTCTGTAACAGGTGCCAGGATGGACAGCAGCCAGAGGTTACTGAGCTCACAGCCGCCTCTTTTGGGTAGAGATGGCATCTGGTACCCACAGTCCTGCCTGTGGCTAGGTGGGCCTGAAGAGGTTGCATGGATGTGTCATCTTGACACTGATTCAGTTATGCGTTACCCATGGCCCTTAGCTAAGGCATGTGAGATGTTCTGAGAGAGGTTCTAAGTCAGCACAAGAGTGGACGCATTGCCTTCAAGAACATGGCAGCTAGCCACACTCATAAATAAAAGAGCTCCACTAGTACATAACAGTGCCTGGTAAGAGCTGAATGACCATTATGGGCTCTAAGGGCTCAGGAGAGGGGGAAATCTTCCAGAAAATCAGGGGAGACTTCTCAGGAGTTGGCCCCGATCTTAAGGAATGGATGGAATTTAGGTACCTGGTGAAAGTGGGGGCCATCCATTGGAGGCATGTTAGAGGGGGCAAAATAAACATTTAATATAAATTCAGGAATAAAGTAGATGAATTCGGCTATAATAGAACATTTTGGGTGATAATAGTGGAAGGCAGGTTTGGGAAAAGAGGGTTGACTCTGGGTTATAGAGGCTCAGAAAATATGGTTAAGGGGATGATTGATTTTGCCCTCCAATCAATGATGTAATTCAGGAAGTGTTTTTAGGAAGCTCAGTGTCCTTGCTCCCGAGAGGCTGAATTGAAGGGGAAACCTCCAGTTGGAGGTTGAGAGGGCAAGGAGACTGCTGCAGTGGTCTGGGCATGCAGGGGCGAGAGCCTGGACTCCAGTGGCACCAGCGTGAAGCGAGGGGGAGGGTGAATGTGAGAGAGAACTCGCAGAGGAAAGTGCAGTGAGACTTGTTTTAAAAGATTTAGCCAATGCCTTATTTGAATTAAAAAAAAAAAAACTTCCTCCCCTTATTTCTCTCTCAGTTTTAAAAGATTTAGCCAATGCCTTATTTGAATAAAAAAAAAAAAAAACTTCCTTTATTTCTCTCTCTCTCTCTCTTTATTATTATTGGGGGCACACAGCATGTGGAATCTTAGTCCCCAGATCAGGGATCGAACCCTTGCCCCCTGCATTGGGAGCACAGACTCTGCAGTGTCTGAACCACTGGACCACCAGGGAAGTCCCACAGTGAGACACTTTAACTAATTGGTGTAAAGAACAAAGAACGGAGGGTAGGGATAGGAAACACAGTGTAGGGTTTGGGGAAGGAAGCAGGAAGGATGGGGATGTCAGTATGTCACATAAGAAAGATGGGGGAAAAGTCAGGGCAGAGGGAAGATGAAGGAGGTAGTTTCAGCTATTTCTGAGGTGTTGGCTGTGGATCATATGGGGGCTATCCAGGCAACAGTTGGAAATGGATGAGAGGCAGGGGTGTTGAAAATCAGTCAGAGTCGCCTGAAGAGAAGTGCTGGTTGAAGTCCTGGGAGCTGAGGAAGGATTGAAGGGAGAGGGTGGGGGACCAACAGCCCCCCACGGGGATCTTGTCTGACACAGAACAGAGGAGGAGGAGGATCAGAGAAAAACAGAGCAAGGAGGAAACGTGAGAAGTGGGGCAAATGTGAGAGCTGACTGAGGGGTCCCCCCAAAAATAAACTCTGAGGGAAGGTCAGTGCATCTGATAACCAGGAGGCTTCTAAACACTTTAGAGGTCGCTGAGCAGGTAGCTGATGGGAGCTGGAGTTATGTGGTAAAGAATCAGGGGAGCCCCCAGAGGTATAGCGCCTGCTGACAACCTGAGGGGGGGAAGGCAGGAAACGGATGTTTCCAGAGGACTCAGCAGGGTTGTGCCAAAGCTCTTCCAGGATGGAGACCCGGCACGGGCGGGCGCCGAGGGTGCGAGGCTCCAGGAGGGGGTGGGCGAGAGAGGCCAGTGTGGGCACCGGGGCTGGAGGGGTGGACGTGGAGGGAAGGGCAGTGGTTTCTCAGGAACACCGGGGGTAAGGGCCGGAGGACAGCTGGGGTGAGCCCCCAAGAAGGCTGCCTCCCCTCCCACCATCTCCTCCTCCTTTCCCAACCTCTTCTCCTCCTCCTGCTATTTTCTTTCTCTCCTTTCCCCAAGTGCCTCTTCTCTTCCAGAGAGCTTGTTCTTCTTGAAGTGGTCATTAGCAGAGATCGGAGCATCTTTAAGAGTTAAGCTGTACATTGACTTATTCAACTACCATGTTATTTTTAAAAACAAATATATCATACCCTTTGCCTTTCCTTCTCCAAGATGATAGACACCCTAAACTCTGTAATTATGCTGCTTTTTATCTGTATAGAGCTCTTGGTTTTCTCCCTTTTGCATAGTGGCCTGTCATTTGATAGCATGCTCTCCCACTTGGTGAAACAGGCATTAAGAGTTTTGTGAAACTGCGTTGCTCCCCATTTCCAGGGGTAAATGAATGATCTAGAAATATGGTCTTTTAAAATGCTTTTTTTTTTTTTTATGTACCTGATGAAGTGTTGGGTGACGCTCTCTAGTTGTGGCATTTGGGTGCATGACGGAGTCTGGTGGGCTTGGCAAGGGGGTCCGAGGGCTGGGGATGAGCTGGTGCAAGGTGCTGTCCATGTCACTAATGCATGTTGTGAAGTGGTGGGCCATCCACCCAGTGGGCCTGTGACTGGAGATACCCATGAGGAGTGGGCCATCTCCTGACCCTTCCAGAGAGCCTTGGGTGCAGCCACTGGGAGACAAAAGCCCGGAGATCCTCCCCCCAGAGAAAGAGCACCGCTGTCCACCCGCACTGAGCCCCTTCCAGCTCAGCTCGGCTCCCTGCCTCCCGGAGGGCTTCATCTAAACTAGGACAAGAAAGGGACTTTTCTATTTTCCCCTTGGCTTGAAATAAGTGAGTCAAAGTAAGTCTTTGTTTTTTTTTGACATTTACAGAGCTCAGCAATCAGCCCGACTCCAGAAATTTCTTCAGAGCCTCCTGGATAGTAAGTTATCATTGTTTACATGGCTTGATATATGAAATATCCAAAAGAAGGCTTGTGTTTCATTTGTTTCAGTCTAGTGGCTTTGAATGATGTACAGTTTGGTGATAAGTAGCAATTATAGTCTTAAAAATTATTTTTTTTCTCCTCCTTTTCCAAATTAACCTTGTGATGACTCATATTACCTCTGATGAGCTTTTCCCTGTGTTGGCTTCTTTACCTTTGGCTGTAAGCTTATTTGTTTGAATTGAGAAGCTGATTCCTGGGAGTGGGGAGGAGTGTGTGACTGAAGTGCATCTGGTGTAAAGGTGACTAGGATGAGGGGGGGTGAAGTCTTCAGGCTGGACCTGTCACAAGGAAAGATGGGGCCAACTTGTCTCATTCTCAGAGATCTGGGTTTATTCCCCTATACCAGTTCTTGGAATTCTGCCTGGCTGGTGAATGCACACCCCACGCACTTCCTCATGGGGTAACTGTCGGCCTCTCCTCCCCTCCCCCAAGCCAACCTACGTCCTCTCCAAGATTTCTTGTCTCCATACTTTGCTATGCTGCTGTCATCCCAGCTGGTAATGTTTCATTGTTGCCCCACGCCCTTACAAACATGTTAGTACCTCTTATTGGCACTTCCTTCCGTGCCTGACTGATGCTTTTGTAGTTTTGTGACTACAATAAACTATGAACCCCCTGAGGGCAAGGGCTGCATCCCTGCAGTGCCTGGTGTACCCAGTAGATTCGGGCGCTGTTCTGGTAGAAGCGGCTTCTCGTCACCATGAGATTACAGTCTGTATCTCACTCCGAAATATGACGGGGAGGGAAGGCACACTGTTACTCCCTCTTCCATCTGGGTTGGGTAACTCCACACAGAGCAAAGTTCAGCTGTGTAGGCAGAAGCCTGACTTTGGTGTGAATGCTGAGTTTATGGACTTGGGGGTCAAATATTACAGTCACTTGGGCATATCCACTCTATCATATCTGGCCAGGGAAGACACTTTGCAAGAGTAGTTTTATTTCAAAGTCAACCAGCTGGGATTAGCGTATGTGGGTGACAGTGAGTGAACTTCTAATGGATCTAAGGCTTTATGCTGGATATTCTGATAGAAGTATAACATATAGTCCCCTAATAGTTTCAGGGGCAAAACACACCAAAAAAATAAATAAAAAGGCAACATGGGAACTGCGTAAAATAGATTGTAGAGGTTAAAAGTATTCAGAAGGTAGCTCCCACAGGCTGTCAGTGTTAAGAACACAGTTCTTGAATGAAAGATTTGAATGATTGTTTGTACACTTAACTGTGTGCCAAGTCTTGTACTTAACATAAGTATATTATACTTTACCTCATTTAGTCCTCAGCATTCTAGGATCAGTTATCATTTTTAATCCTCATTTTATTGGTGAGGAAACAGGCGCATGAAGGTTGTGTGTGCCTGGCTTCCATACCTGTGCATGGCAGAGCTACCACCAGAGTAGGAGCAATGATATTCTAGGCCAGGGAACTGCTGAGGTCTACTGGTGCCATCTATAAACTCTCATCTGCACCAGTAGTGATTCAAAATTGGGTGTTAAATGAACCAAAGAAAGGCATGCTAGAGTTGACTGTTTTGAGTGACTAAAAAAAAGAAAGAAGAAAACAAGGATCCATTTGTGTCATAGCATGTTAGCAGGATTGAGGGCATACAGAATTTTTTTTGGTTGTGCCCTTTGGCATGCGGGATCTTAGTTTCCCAACCAGGGATCACACCCACATTCCCTGCAGTGGAAGCACAGAGTCTTAACCACTGGACCACCAGGGAAGTTTCCATGCAGGCTTTTAAAATATATATAATTTTCTTTCTTTCTTTATTGGATGTGCTGGGTCTTTGTTACTACACAGACTTTTCTCTAGTTGCGGCAAGCAGGGGCTATTCTCTGGTTGTGGTTTGCAGGCTTCTCATTGCGGTACCTTCTCTTGTTGCAGAGCTCAGGCTCTGGGAACATGGGCTCAGTAGTCGTAGTTCCGAGGCTGTAGGGCATGGGCTCGATAGCTGTGGCACACCTCAGCATGTGGGATCCTCCTGGACCAGGGATGGAACCTGTGTCTCCTGCATTGGTAGGTGGATTCTTCAGCACTGAGCCACCAGGGACTCCCCTCCACGCAGGCTTTTTAAAAGAGCAAGTTGCTCTCAGACACTCTGGGGACTTGTATACATAAAGCTATTTGATGTCTTCGTTTATCAAGAAGTCTCTTCTTGTGCTTCTCTTGTGTCTCAGTGTTCAAGTGCTTCCCTTGTGGTTCAGCTGGTAGAGAATCTGCCTGCAATACGGGAGACCTGGGTTCGATCCCTGGGTTGGGAAGGTCCCCTGGAGAGGGCAAAGGCTACCTACCCCATTATTCTGGCCTAGAGAATTCCATGGACTTCATAGTCCATGGGGTTTCAAAGAGCTGGACACGACTGAGCAACTTTCACTTTTCTGTTTGTGTCATGGAAATAGGTCTCTGGAGACCTCTGTTTTTCAGTCATAGCCCAGCTCTCATCTTGACAGAAATAGATGAGCTTTTCCCTCCTGCTGTCCTTCCTTGTGGGGACTTTCCAGTAATTGAGGCTTGATTCTCTCCCAGTTTGTTCAAATGACTAAAGTTTTTCGGTGTTTGCAGTTGGGGACAAATCAGCCTGAGTGCAGTGCCTGACATGTAGGAAAATGTACAGTAAGCATTTGCTAAATAAATGAATGCACTTATAGATCTCAGGTAATTAGAATCCAGCTTGCTTAGCGCTGAGGCAGGCAGCTTGTGAACACGAATCACATGTGAAAGAAATGTTGTCAAGACTTGACTTAACCTAAGCACCAGAGAAAGACAAGTCACCAAATGGCCCAGGATCAAAAATTCTGTGGTCAGTCTGTAAGAAGTGATAGTGTTGTCTTAAATCCACTTTCACATCTTGAGCAGACTTCAGTTTAGAATTTTATTAGCATGATTCCTTATCACAATGTGAGAAGAACCTGGGAAGAGAGAAGGAAATTCACCCATGGCTCCAATAGCCTAATACAGCTGTCAGTCTTTCATTTCAAAAAGTATCTTTCATACTTGTGATCATAGTGTATATCCCATTTTGAATTTTATTTCCCTGGAGTTATCAGATCTGTATGTCAACAGTGTAGACTACTCATTATTTTCAACATGACTTAGTATTTTGGCACGAAAAATTTTTTTTTTTTGCCTAGCTGAAGAGCTTTACTTTATTTGGCCAGCAGGTGGCACTCAAGAACAAGCTGCTCTTTCCTCAATGGTGATGGTCTACTAGAGAAATCACTTTTCCCCCTTAATCTAATTTTAGATCAAAACAAATCATTAGGATAGATCTACATGAGTGATTAGAGACTCCCCTGGGCCTTAAAAATGTCATAAATCTGTGTGCATGTTGGCATTTAACTCCATTGAATCATTTATTCCACCAATGTGTATTTATTGAACAATAGTGCTAGACACCAGGCATGCAAAGATTCATAAGATAAACTGCCTGGCCTCAAGGAAAAGTGTCATTGGAGAATTACATGATCGTACATGACAGTCAGAATGCAGTGTGGTAAATTCAGAGATGGAACCCAGGAAGTGTTTGAGGGGAAAATCTAAAGAAAGGTTTTATCATGCAGCAGCAAATAAAAAGTGAATGACAGGGACTTCTCTGGTGGTTCAGTGGCTAAGACTTTATGCTCCCAATGCAGGAGACCCGGCGTCGATCCCTGGCCATGGAACTAGATCCCATGTGCACAACTAAGAGTTCACCTGTGGCAACTAAGATCTCACATGCTGCAACTAAAGCACAGCACAGCCATATAGATAAAAGTTTAAAAAATATTGTTAAAAAGTGAATGACAGTAGCATTCTATTATAAATACAAAAAATTTTTTTTCATGCAGTACTCTAATATTGTCTGAAAGTGAAAGTCGCGTCTGACTCTTTGCAATACCATGGACTGTATAGTCCATGGAATTCTCCAGGCCAGAATACTGGAGTAGGTAGTCTTTCTGTTCTCCAGGGGATCTTCCCAACCCAGGGATCAAGCCCAGATCTCCTGCATTGCAAACAGATTTTTTACTAGCTGAGCTAAAAGGGAAGCCCCTAAGATTGTGTAGATTCCCCAAAGTCTAGAAACAGTTATTTTTTTTTCTTTTTTCCCCTGAAAACACTAAATGGTTTTGAACAGTGACTCCATGAAGCAGGAATTTTTTGTTTTGTCCTCTGTTGACTTTCCATCTAGGAGAATGATTGACTTTTAGTAAGTGCTCAGTAAATATTTGTAGAGTGAGTAAAATGAGCAGTGGAATGACAAATTGAGATCTTCTCTAGAAATATCATTGGCAGTGATTTGCAGAGATGACTGGAGGAGGTGAGGACTGGAGACATGGGCAGTGGCAGTGTGCTTCCTGCAGAAGTACAAAACAGTCGTGGGCAGTCCCAGTGGGGAGAGAGCAGGATTCATGTGACTCTGTCCAGGACAGGGAATAAGCAGGGCTTGGGACTGGTTAGGTCTGGGGAGGGAAAAAGAGGGTGATTCTACTGGCTTTCTGGCTTGGGTGAAGGAAGACAGAGGGACAGAGCTAGGTTTGGTTTGGGACAGGCTGAGTTCAAGATGTCTGAGGGTCATGCGGTAGAGGATGTCTAGAAGGTAGCTGAATGTCTGTGTTTGGAGCTCCAAAGAAAGGTCTGTATAGATAATGGATCTGAAGGTGGATTTTGTGGACAGTCTCATCACACCTACTAGTTTTGCAGATGAAAGAAACTGAGGCTGAGAGAAGCAGATTGTTTGCAAGTTTTTAAAGATAGCAGGCTTGCCTCAGCTGATCACTTTCCTCATGGGAGCCAGGCTGGACTCACAGCCTGCCAGGACCCAGTCTGCCTCCTCCAAAGTGTGCCTGGTGGCACGTTTGGAAACACTTGGCCCTGAGGTGATTGCTCTGTTCTCTCAGTTTATCCTTCCAGTGAGTATTTTTATTGAATCCTTCTTGAACCTCAGCAGTCAGTTCTGCATCTTAGCCAGGGGGTGAGTTCCCACCCTGTCTCTTCCTGGCTTGTTCTTTCCAAACTAAAAATGGCTCAGCTAAGACTACCGAGGGCTAAGCTTTCTTTCTTTTTTTTTTTTTTTGGTCTTACCATACACCATGAAAGATCTTAGTTCCCTGACCAAGGATCAAACCCCAGGCTTCAGCAGCGAAGTTGCCAAGTCTTAACCACTGGAAACCAGAAGATTCCTCTTAGCTAATGAATTTGACTTGTTTTGTTGAGTAATCTGTGGCTGCTAGTCCTGACTGGCCCTTTCTCGATCAGTCTGACTGGTTTCCCCATCCTCTCTGATCTGTTGGAACACTGCAAGACCCAACAACTCTGTGACTATCCGCAAATAACCTTCACCCCTCTGGTCCTCGGTTTTCCCTTGGAGAAAGTGGGACAAATGATATGCCTTTCCAACATTAGGAGATCTAATAATGATGATATATTTTAAAACATTGTTCCATAGCTTTAAAATATTGTTTTTAAACAAGGAACCCCTCAGTAGCAAAGTGTGCACATCTGGAAAAAGCATGTTGGCTTTGGTATCAGAAAGAAAACAATTGGCTAGAGCAGATCCATTCTGAGAGGTTTCCTGAGTACTGATTTGTTGTTCTGGTGGAAGCAGGAAAAAATGGTGATAACGGCTGGATAATGGCCAAAGGTGGGGTGGCTGTGGGTAGGGGGTAGGTTCTGATAACTAGTGAGGTAGAGGGGGTGTGAGGTCAGGCAGCTGGTTATGGCTGAGAATAAATAAAATGTTGGATTGAATCAATGTTATCAAGCTGTTTATAACTTTATGCTGAAAAATCCATATTGATACTGGCAAATGGAATTCAGTAGGACAGAAAAGCAGCCTAGTGAGAGCCTGAGTGCTTTTGTGGGAGAAAGGGGGTCACCCCTGATCTGAGTGTGTGTGCACACATGTGTGCGTATGCCCATGTGTCAGTGTGTCTGTGGGTGAAGGCATAGAAAACTGGAATTAGGGGGAGGGGAGGATTCAGTGAGTAAATGCTCTTAATTTTTTCTGTGCCCCACCTCATTCCATAAAGGATTTGTGGTAACTTGCAAAAACACCTAGACTTTGAACAAGATTAATATAAATGAGCAATATAAACAAGTGATAGTTGGTACTCCATAACGCATGTCCTAAGGTGCTGATACAAATTTTGAAAGCAATGGATGGAATAAGAGCACAAAGAATGCCAGCTTCCGGTTGCACTTGGTGGCTGATTTTCCTGTAGACCCAAGACAGCTGGGGAACTACCTTTTGTTGTTCAATTTAATGCTCCATTGGTCAAAGCACTTGTGAGTAACAACATAGAAAAGTTATGCAGGTGCTGGACTTGAAATGGCCAACTCGGGCTGGCGACATGTCAGAAGCTCCACTCATGTCCTTGACTGTCTCGTCTTGCGTGCAGTCATTAGGCCCGAGAACCCCCTCCTATCTGACCCCGCTCTGTGCCCAGGCAATGTTTCTCGGTTATTTTGTGCTTTTAAAGCACAAATATAGTCATCTCAGAGCACCTTGCTGTTGGGACACAATTCCTGAATATTTTGGAGCTCCCGAGGGCCTGCTTTGTCTGTCGAGCTCTGTGGCTAAATAAGAATGCCCTTTAGGAAGGGCTGTGCTTGGTGAGGATTCCAGGAGGTATGTTTCCTTATCCTCAGCTGGTAATGTGCTTTTTAGAAAACTGTTAAAAATACTAACTGCTGTGTTGTGTTTTTTTTCCTTCTCTTTTTAAAAATTTCGTTGTTCTCAGTGTATATTCTTCCAACTTCCATGCGGTGAAGAGGGAATCCGATGGGGCTCCTGGGGATCTCACCAGCTTGGAGAATGAGAGGCAGATTTATAAAAGTGTCCTGGAAGGAGGAGACATCCCCCTCCAGGGCCTGAGCGGGCTCAAGCGGCCATCCAGCTCAGCCTCCACTAAAGGTAATGGGGAGTAGCCTGCAAGACTCTGGCCCATCTACAGTGTTACCGGGGTGTCTCTTGGCCATCTGTACCCATTCCTAGGGTGATGGCAGTGAGAGTAAACCTCCAGCTACTGGGATCAGTTTTGAGTTGTTCAGATCCATTTCCAGGCCACTGAGCCCTCCCGGCCCCCTCCCTGAGTTTCTTACCGGCCATTTTTCTTTCTGGTATTAATAGTTCCCTTCCTTTGAATCCCCACCTTGCTCTCCCTGAAGCATCTCTCTCTCTCTCTTTTTTTGTTCTGGTTCCCTTTTCTTAGAAATTAGCTGAGCTTTTCCTAATTCTAACAGGGTGGCCATTTTTTGTTGCATCTTTGCACCTGCTTTGCAGCACAGATTATTTTGCTTCCGGACATCGACTGGAAATTAAAACAAAAGAAACCGAAAAAATCACACAAAACCCTCTGACAAATAAGCATGTTCCCTCTCCCCCTTTCCTTCTTCTTCTTCTTTTTTTTTTTTTTGGTAGCAGCTTTCAGCTTTAACCTAATGGGTCTGTTTATTTTATTCTGCATGCTTCCAGTGGATCATAAAGGTGGGAATGCTCACATGATTTCTTCATCTTCAGCTCATAGCCGAGCAGCTCACAGTAGCAGTGCGTTAGGCCCAGGGTGTAAGCACAAGAAGCCCCTGTCCGCCGCGAAAGCCTGCATTTCGGAAATCCTCCCCTCCAAATTCAAGCCCAGGCTCTCTGCTCCCAGCGCTCTCTTGCAGGATCGGAAGAGCATCCTTCTGCCGTCAGAAAAGGCTCAGAGCTGCGAGAATCTTTGTGTCTCTGGTTCTCTGAACGACTCCAGAAGAGGCCTCCCCCTGCCAGTTGGGGGCAGCGTGGAGAACCTGCTCATGCGCTCGCGGCGGGACTACGACGGCCGCTCGAGCAGCACGCTGAGCCTGCAGGAGTTCGGCGCAGCCGCCAGGAGGCCCTGTCCGCTCTCGAGGAAGGCCGGCCCGCAGTTTACCATGCTCTACCGCGACATGCACCACATCAATCGGGCCGGACTCTTCCTGGGGTCCGGCCCCTCCTCCAGCGTGCGGGATCTGGCCTCCCACTTCGAGAGGAGCGGCCTGGCGTTGGCCCGGGGCGAGCTGGGCCCCAGCCAGGAGGGCTCGGAGCACATCCCCAAGCACACTGTCTCCTCCCGCATCACGGCTTTCGAGCAGCTGATTCAGCGCTCCCGGTCCATGCCGTCCCTGGATCTGTCCGGCAGGTTAAGCAAGTCCCCTACACCCGTGCTGGCCCGGAGCGGCCTCGTGTCCGCCCGCTCGGCTGAGTCCCTCCTGGAGTCAACCAAGCTCCGGCCCCGGGAGGTAGACGGGCTGAGCTCCGGGAGCATCATCTATGCCTCCCCAACGTGTAGCCGGATGGCGGACTCCGCCTTGGGCTTCCGAGGCCTTGTGCCTTCCGAGCCCCTCTCCGCCTGCTCGGACGAGCTGGACCGGTGCTCCAACGTGTCCAGTGACAGCCGAGAGGGCAGCAGCGGCAGCGTTCACGGGGACTTCCCCAAACACCGCCTCAACAAGTGCAAGGGCACCTGCCCGGCCTCCTACACCCGCTTCACCACCATCCGCAGGCACGAGCAGCAGCAGGCCTCCCGGCGGCCCGACTGGCGCCCGGATCCCCGGGGGGACAAGGGCACGCTCCTCAGGAACATCTACCTAATGAGCCCCCTCCCCTTTCGGTTGAAAAAGCCCCTCCAGCACCCCCTCAGACAGCCTGGCCCCGGGGACTTCTCGGGCCAGAAGCCAGAGCCCCCCAGTCAGCCCCATCGGGACGAAGCCCCCTCCGGGGGGAGGCCCTCAGTGCCCAAACGCCTGTCTTCCCGGCTCACCATGGCCCGGCTGAGCCGGCTCTCAGAGCCCCCTCAGGAGAGACCCGCGACCCCGGAGGTCTGCCCGCGGGCGTTTAGTAACGGGAACTCTGTGCCGCACTCAGACCAGGGCCTGGACAGGAACAACAACCCCCACGGGGAACTGGGGGCACCCCTCGGAGGTGGCCTTCTGTGTGTTTGACCAGTCTCACCTCACCCGTCCCTCCATCCTGCTTGCCGTGTCCCCCCTCCCCTGTGCCCTCCCTGCTCATTTTCTGGTCCGTCCTTTGTTTTCTGTTTGTTTTGCTTGGCAATTAATCATGGCTCGTAGTGGCTGCTCTTCTTTAAAAACAGATTCCCCCATGTCATTTAGACTAACCACCAAACTCTGTTTCGAAAGAAAAATTGGCCGTTTAGCTCATCTGAGAAATTTGTTGATTTGAACTCCTGAACCCCTTGCAGTTCACACCAATCCTGACTCACGCGGAGGTTTTTTGAGAGGCAGCCTCTCTTGGTGGCCCTGTGTGTGTGTGTGTGTGTGAGTGTACAGTGTGTGTCCTGTAAGACCCTGCACGCCTGTTAGGGACACCTTTCTAAGATGGATCTCTCTTTGCTCACTTTTTGCCTCTCGTTAGTTTTCTGTGTATGGAACTAATTCACAAGTAAATCTAAAAAGCAGGAGGGGGAGGGGGTTTGGTTTTTTTCCTTCAGAATTTGATACTGACCACCAAACTACAATGGTAAAAACTTGATATTTATCATGGATGAAAGGTGAAATCTTGCCCCAATCTGGTTTCCTGCTAAATCTTTGCCTGTTTTAATTCTGCTTTATTGTTTTGAAAGATTCAGAGTCACCAAGGCATTTTATACCAGCTGATTACTTGGAATCCACAGAAGAATTTATTCGACGGCGTCATGATGATAAAGAGGTAATCGCCACTTTTGAACTCTCTAAGCTCTTGTGCAGACAAAAATATGCAGGAAGTAGACATTTAGGGCGGTGACATGGCCTAGCAGTTAGAATCAAACATAGGGATTTTCACAGGTGAGTTTTTATATGACCTAGACTCGATCATTCCTATTAGTCCACTTCTCCCAAAAGTAGGACTGATTTTTTTCAAGCCACTAACTTCCAAAGGCCAAGTCCAGTCAGTCCTACTGCCCAGGAGGTTCAGAAAGAGGTTGCCCACCACTGCATTCAGTGCCTCGAAAGGGGAGCACCCTCACCCCCACTTTATTATTCTCCAAGGAAATTCACCCTCTATTGACACAAAGCACAGTTCATATTGTGAGAAGGATGCAACAGGAGAAAGAGGAAATGTAAAATGAATAATGACCATGATAAATACATTTTATAAAAACATTTTGAAGACGTTGCCTTTAACTCAGAGCTACCCCAGTAAACGGTGACAGTGCCCCACCCCAAGAACTTCAGCATTAGCCTTTGTCTTGCAGCTGCTGAAACATGCAGTGATCTGACTGGTGGGGCCAGGAAAGGGGCACATTCTCTTGGGATTTAGGAAGAGGTGGTTCTGTATATCAGCTAAATGGGCAGAATTACAAGCTGCTGTTGTGATGAAGTGTTATTACAAGATGTGCTTTCTAGATTTCACATTCCCAGAGGAAAGGGTCCTATTAATTAAACAAGCTCTGAGGACCATTTCCATGCAGTGAAGAGAATTGTTTTGAGGCTAGTGGCAACAGGGGAAGGTGGTCATGTGTACAGAACTCTGTCCCCTTCCCTGTAAAGTCCAAAGCCCTCTTCCTATGTTCTGTTTCATTGGGGGTGGTTTCAGAGTCTAGGGGGATTTTTATTAAGGATTTAGGGTCGGGCTGACATTGAAGAGAGCTGGAGGGTAACAGTCATGCTGTCAGCTGGAGAGACAAAGGACAAAAAAGACCACAGTTCTGCCCTTCTCTGGGCACCATACAGACAGTACTCAGTAAGACATTTGCACCTGTCTGTGAAAAGATGCTCAAGGAAGCATTTGATGGACAGAATTATTTGTGATAACAATGTGAGAAGCTCACAATGCATGTCCATCAGGCCATAGAACAGACTTCTGTTTGTCACTGAGATATGAGATTCCACCTATTGAAACCTGGCCTGCTATGATGAAGGGAGGTGACATTCCATTTCAGGAGTATAAACCCTAACATCCAACATGGGAGGTTTTGTGATAGAATTCTCACCTACCATGTGGGAGGCAGGTTTTACTTTGCTGATATAGTGATTCAGAGGATGAGCAGCTTGTTTCCTGAATATACTGGCTCACACATCCTGGTGTCCTTATCCCTGGTTTTTGGCTTATATGTTTAAACTATGGAAATGATGGATTTACTGAGGTCAGATTCAAGCTGGGAGGGGAGCTCTGCTCCATTTGCACTCATGTTATTATTAGGCCACGCCATGCGGCATGTGGAATCTTAGTTCCCAATCCAGGAATGGCTTGTGCCCCCTGCACTGGGAGCATGGAGTCTTAACCACTAGACTGCCAGGGAAGTCCCACAAGTGGCTTATTATTAACATTGATGATAATGCATTTCAGAAAACAAGAACCTGTCAGTCCTGGAAGGGACATTGGTGGTCATCCACCCAATTCCCTTGTTTTATCCAGGAAAGGACTGCCATAGGATACTGGCTAGCCCCAGACCACATAGAAAGTTACCTTGTAACAGAGGCAGGGCTGGAAACCAGGGCCCTATGGTGTTTCACAAAGCACTTTCTCATGTCTTTTCTCACTGAATCTTTACCACAACTTAACCTGAGCACTGGAAATCCCATAGCTATTTGACGAGTTACTGCTTTACCATTGGTAGACCCTGGAGAAGAATAGAAAGATGGGTCCACCCTCCTTTGGAGCTAGGGGTCACTTAAGGCATTTCACTACCTGCTAGGAGAAGGCTAATGCTTTACTGAGAATGCTCAAAATGATCAGTTCTAATTAATGCCTTCCTGCAAGCAATATTAATTCTGGGAATGTATGATTGGTTTAGAGTAAGAAAATATTAAAATTCTCTTCTGTAGGGTCCTTTCAGTAGGCAGTGAGGACATTTAGTTAAATGTAATATTGTTTAATTATTTTAAAAGGCCTTTAAAAACAGAAATGAATGACTGTTTCCTTAATTTAGGAGAGAATATTTCTTCTAAACTCAGGTACCTTATTCTTAGTTTATCTCCTATATGTACAGTCTACAGCAGTCCCTTAAACTCAACTTCATTTCTCTAAGGAAGAAGTAGTTGAGTAGAAAGTACATTAGGATAATAAATGATGCTTTCTGTCCATCACAAATAGGTTTTGGTACACATGCTGAAGCCTCCTAAAATTGTACTCAGAGGAAGGCTTGGCTGGTCTAGGAGGAAGGGTGCCATATTTTCTGAAATGGGTATTTCTACTCTCTTGAGCATATTCAAATAGCAGCAATAGGAAGCACAAAATGACCTGCTTGCCATAGAACCCCTTAGTAAAAGCCCACAGCAGTTTAACAGGACAGATGTGGGCAGGAGGAAGAGCCCACCCTGGTTCCACTGTGGGAATATGCTATGGGAGCTCATCACTGGCTAAGTGAGTGAGGATAGCACTTCCGGCCTCCTGCCATGCTCCATGCTCATGAATGCTCCGGAAGGACCCCTGGATGATGTGGCCTCCGCTGCCTTGTATCTGGAGGCAGGAGGCTGTCAGCTGAGCCAGGTGTAGTCTGCAGACAGTGTAACCACATGGGACCAGCCTTCAGTGCTGCCTAGATTTCTTCTGCAGTGCCGTCTCCTCCCTACACAGAGCACACAGGGGTGGTTACAGCGGGAACATAAAGCCCCTCCAACGTCTGTTTCCTCTCTATTGACTCAGCACCTTTTTCCTTAGTTGTTTTTGTTGGCAGTTTTCCAATGCCCTGGACCAGATGATTCACTGCCCATTTTATGCAATTTCATGGCAGAAACTTTTAGCGGACCAGAGACGACTTAAACGCGAGCAAGAAGAAGCCGATATCGCAGCTCGACGCCACACGGGCGTCATTCCAACGCACCATCAATTTATCACTAATGAGCGCTTTGGGGACCTCCTCAATATAGACGATACGGCAAAAAGGAAATCTGGGTCAGAGGTCTGTTTTGGTCACCTCGATCTGCTGCTTGACCCAAAGCAATATTTGCCTCCCCTCAGCATTGCCCTCTGTAGGCCAATTTAGTTCTCCAAGCAGCGTCTGTCATCCTGGCTTCCCTTAGGCTTGCTTTGGCTCTTCTCTGGCTGGTCAGAGGACATGAGTCCCATTATGTCCTGTGCTCTGTATGTCCAAGCATGCCTGGCTGCGGGACTGGGATCCACCGGTGCACCCTCCGAATGCATGCCTTAGAGCATCGGCTGCCGTCATGAGTCTCGTCTTCTCCATCCGCATTTTACCATGATACTGCGTTGCCTGTGCGTTCTGCTTAGACACCTGTACCTTAGCTCATATGCATTAGTGGCCATGGTGTGGACAATTACAAGCTGCTGCTTTGAAGAGATGGTTTAGTGAAACTTGAAACATGAAACTTACATGCAGTACTGCTGCTTGGTATCCTACAGTGATATAATTGAAGTGTTCAAGAGAACTGAAACCTCACTGAGGAGTTTTGAAAGCCAGAGAGTTTTGCAGTTAGGGCAAGCCATGGAGGGTAAGAGCTCTCTGAGAGCCATTTCCTCCATTCCCTTAATTTGGACACTTCTCAGCTGAGATTACGAAACTTAATATTACACAAGGAACAAAGAGGCACAAGCCTTTAAAATGATTTTATCTGGACCTTGGCCTCCTGCGTGAAGGTCAGCATGTTGAAATTCTCATGCTGGCCAAATGCTGCATTTTGTGTCAGAATTTGTTTTGCCACGTGACCCTTAAGTAGCCCTGCCTAAGATTAGCTCCTTTTGGGGAAGTGTGTGTGTCTGGGACTTGGGGGGTGGGGATGGGGGAATGGGTGAGTGACACCAAAGTATATACAGTTTTATAATCGTTCAATGTAACAGCTGATTAATGTTCATGTCGCTGTCTTTCGAGCGACAGAGGTACCACTGGTTATTCTTCAAATGGTTTGGGTTTTGTTTTTGTTTTTAAAGAAATAGAAGGTGACTGTGAAGAGAAGAGGGGAACCAGGTGAAAAGGAAAGCTGGGGAGGGGAAAGTGGCTTTAAGGTGATAGAGAAAAATAAAATGTAATTTTAAAAAACGCAGAAGTTATCCAGAGTAACTCAGATGCAAGGAAAAGACAGCTCCCAGCCCTCAGCATTCTAGCTCCTCCATACCACTCTGTTCTGAAGGTTCTGGTGACGGGTTATTCTTGTTCCTGGACCTACCTGGTTGTGAGTGATGGAGGAGATGGGAACATGCAGAGGCAACCTAGGGCTGCCTAATCCCTGTAGATAATACATGTAAATGAAATGCAACCAGGGCACAGTAACCATAGACAGAGGCAGGTGGACTCTGCCTAACGCACACTGCATCCCTTCTAGAGCAGAGGTTCTCAAACTTGAGAGCATCAGAATCCCCTCAAGGCTTATTAAAATACAGGTTGCTGGTCCCCATCCACCAAGTTTCTGATTCTGGGGTGTGACCTGAGAATTTGCATTTTTGAGCAGTTCAGGGACTGCATGTTGAGAATCCCGGCCCTAGATGCTGACTGACAGACGTCAGAAGACAAAGACCAGTGAGTCCTAGTGTCCAGATCATGTAGATATACTTCCGTCCCATTACCATTGTGTCCCGGTGTACTAGGCTGTGTAGATGTACCTCTGTCCCATTCAGTAGAGTTTGGGTGACCACTAATCCTGTCCAGGACCCTATGAGGGGGCAGAAACAAGACTCAGACTGTGCTCTTGGGAAGCAGGCAGTCTAGTGGAAGAGGCACCCTTGGAACAGTTACCTCTGTCGTAGTAGTAACACGATGCCTTGGGAACCAGAGGAGGAAAAGGTAGATTCAGCCTCGGGGATGGAGGGAGATAAAGAGGGAAATGATGCTTTGTATAGGCAATGATGGCTTATGTCTTACGTTTGATGGAATCAGTGTTTCTCAGTCTTAGATAACGTATGGGTTCCCTTTAAAGACAAATTTTCACCAACCCAATTGGGTTGACCTAAGCCAATTTACAGATTAAATAGTAAACTATACACCTATACAGTTTTTATTTGATAATTATTAATTTAATTGAGAGCTGATTAATATTCATGTCTCAGTCTTTTGAATGACAGAAGGCACCACTGACTGTTCATCACATGGCTTGGGTTTTACTAATTTAATTGATAGTTGATATAATTTCCCTGAATTCAGTTGTCACTCAGAGTATGAATATCATGCTAGTTTGGTATAAATTTGTTTTTAATTTCACACAGCTCTGCAGTTGGCTGTCATGAGGTAACCAGCCCTCCCCCCCCCTTCACTTTTTAAAAATTGGAATCACTGTGACATTTGTGTCCTTAAAATGTTGGTCATTTGGCCTTCTCTGTGAACTTGTCATTTGTAAATAACTCCATGATTGTTCTCTTCTTATTTGCTTACAGTGGTTAAATTATGCTCTCTGGTCATAACAGACACAGATGCAGACATTGAAATTCTGACATTGATTATAAGGTTGGCATTTAGCTGACTTCTAGAATGTATGGGAGATAGATAGAAACAGAACATGAAAATGCAAAAATAAAAAATTCCTGCAGAGAATTCATGGCCTTCAAGAAGGTCCCTACAAGACCCCAGCTCAAGGAGCCTGATAATGTGGGGGTATTTCATTGAGGGATCAGGATCTAAAACTGAGCTTGATGAAGCTTCTGAAAGTGATTTTTTCTCACCTATATTCCCCTCTGCTTTGTTAATGCCTTCTAATATTGAAGTAGGAAGTACATAACTTAATTTTCATCACATTGTTTCCCTAGACCAAAAAGTCACAGCAGTTGAGTAAGTTGGAGCTGCTCGTAGCTGGGGCAGAATTATACTGGCAGCTATGCACAGCTTGCTCACTTGATTTCTCCCCTCTGTTTTTCTTTAAAAAAAAAAGTAACTACTTTTAGTGGTGGGGAAGAAAGATGTGCAAATAAACATGGTAAGTAAAGAAGAACATTTTCCTCTCTTTGATGGAATTGGTGATGAAGAAATTCCAGACACAGAAGGGTGTCTAGACAAGATGCAGCAAATAGACTTGCCTGATTGGGTCAGGAAGAGTGTCCTAGGAGATAAGGCAGTTAGGTATGAGTGGAGGGAAATTACCCAAAGACCTTAACCCACCTCAGGCATTGAGAGTTGACCTGAATGACAGTTGAGAGACTCAGCCAACTTCAGAGTGAGGCAGTGATGTGATGGAGGCATTTGAGGAATGTTATTTGTGCCTCTGAGTGACAGCAGATTAGAGTGAAGAGAACTGAAGTCAAAGGAAGCTTTGTGCTTGTGGGGACCAGAGGTCGAACCTGAGAGGGGTTGTGGAGGGGACGGAGGGAGAGTTGGTGTGACTTAATGACAGACTCAATGAGAAAGTGGAGACGGGGCTGCAGATGACTTCCAGGCTTGGGAGACTAGGAGGAGAGGGCTCCCCAACAAGAATGGGAGCCTTGGAGGAAGAGCATGAGCTCAGGGCTTGCTATATCTGGCTTTTTGGATGATTTCACAGACTTTGAGAAATATATGTAGTTGGAGGTGATATGAGAAGTCAGTTGGGGTTCATCTACTTGCAGGGCATAATTTAAGTCACACAAACAATGTGCTCCCCAAAGAGGAAGACAGTAGATAAGGAATGTCTCAGGACTTCCAACTGGTTTTTTGTTTGTTTTTTTTAAATAGCGGTATCAGCTTTGAGAACCAGCATTTCAGCTTTAGGACTTTTCTGACCATCTCTTCCCCAAATCTGGCCCTCTGTAGGGAGATCCTTACACATGTCATAGCTGACTGAATATTCATCTAGTATTCTGCTAAGGTCAGACAAGTGGAATTCTGCCCATATTTCAATACCAGAGTAAACTGGTTAGGGTGGATTTTTCTGCTTTGCTTTCTGGAAGCTTGTAAACATGTTCTTTTCATTGTACATGAATTGCAATTTTAACTTGTCATTGTTTCTTGTGTTTAGATGAGACCTGCCAGAGCCAAGTTTGACTTTAAAGCTCAGACACTAAAGTAAGTGCCATTTATCCACCTTGTTTCTTCTGGGGACAGGGTGCCTTCCTCCTGACCCTGTGCTTTCATTGTACCATGTTGCTTCCCCCCAAAACTTAATAATAGCACTTTTTAAAGAGAAAATGAGAGATCCACAGACTTGAATATGTTAAACACCTCCAGTCACTGGGTTCTGTTTTCCCCTTACATAAATGTTACTCAAAAAAGTGTTCTGTGGAAGCACTTGATTCAACCAAGTTAAATAGGTTTCTGTCCCGCAGGACTTCCTCCAGGGTGCCAGGGTGCTGAAGGGCATGATGAGTCTCCAGAAAAGGTCTAAAGTGTATCACATTATCATTTCGCAAATCTTGTTACTATCAGACCTTGCCACTGGTTCCTTGGGGATGGGGTGTGGTCCATGGAGCAGGAAGGAGGCATCCCCAGCGCCCCCATGATACATGACCTCTCAGCCTCTCATGAGTGTCCCCCTCCTTGCTTACCTGGGGTGGTGGTGTTGGGGGGTGGGGTGGAGGGAATCACAGCTCCCACCCACCTCCATACCTGCGATCCCTTAGGTAGCAGAGTTTAGAATCTGTAGATGTCCAGCAGTGGTGGGTATTCTGAGGATTCTGCTCATCTGTGTTTCCGTAGTTGAGGGTAAACGGAGGGGGGAAATTCAGAACTCCCCTGAGAAGGGCTATAGCAAAAAATTGACCAAAGACATTCTTTTTTCTAGAGACAAACACCCTGAATTCCCTTCACAGGGCTCTTTAGGTTTAGAATCCTGCCTGCTGGTGCGAGACCCACACAGGCAGCCTTATCCTTTGATCCAGCACAGGGCTGACTGTGAGGTTTTCTGGACGTCCCCATTGTCTAGCCAGCACCCCTTTATGTACAGTGGGACCACCTGGCACACCACCAAGCAGGCACACCCCCTCCACCCTGCAGTCAGAGGCCTGTCTTTCCTTACTGTTTGTTTGATGCACATGGAAAAGATCAGGTCATTTTTTTCTAATTCAAGAAAATTTCAAGTTGCAGTAGTTTTGTTTTGCTTAAAATGTATCTATTATCTATCTGTCTCACTTTTTAAAATGGATTCCTGGCTAGAGATTAACATATTATTGAGGCAAACAAAATGATGTACATGGAAAAGTTGAAAATGGGCATGAAGAGGGAAAATTCACTTTTCTTTCCAAGATCCCTTTTCTGTGTTGAAAAGGAAGTGAACTAACATTTACTGACTGTTAACTATATCACAGGCACCAGGCTAGGTCTTCTATTTGTAGTTTGTTGCTGATTTCTCCACAGACTCTGAGTTAGCTCCTGTTTTCAGATAGAGAAAGTATTGGGTTGGCCAGAAACCCAATACAGTGGTTTGGGCTTTTCCATAAAATGTTTCTGGGCTTCCCTGGTGGCTCAACTGGTAAGGAATCCACCTGCAATGCAGGAGACCTGGGTTCAATCCCTGGGCTGGTAAGATCCCCAGAGAAGGGAAAGGCTACCCACTTCAGTATTCTGGCCTAAAAAAATTGCAAAGAGTTGGACACGACTGAGCGACTTTCACACACATAAGATGTTTCTGGCCAACTCAACATCTCAGAGGGATTAAGTATCTTGCCCAAGGTACCAGAGCTAGTAAATGATATAACTGGGTTTTGAATCCAGATCTGCCTAATTTCAGAGCCTTTCTACTGCATAATGCTAGATGAGTGTATGTATGTATGGATGGATGGCTAATGAGATTGGTGGATGGATGGATGGATGGATGGATGGATGGATAATGAAATGAATGGGTGGGTGGATGGCTAAATGGATAGAATGATAAAAGGATATCAGGATGTCACAAATACTGATGGAACTTGTCGCTTTTGACCTCACCCAAAGTCTCCTTTTGCTAAAACACTGAGCATCTCAGCCTTACACTCATTGGAACATCTCCTAAAATGCCGTGACCCTCTGTCCACAGGGAGCTTCCTCTACAGAAGGGAGACATCGTTTACATTTATAAGCAAATCGATCAGAATTGGTACGAAGGAGAGCATCATGGACGGGTGGGGATCTTCCCCCGCACCTACATCGAGGTATGCTGGCTCTGTCTCTTTCTCAGGAAAAGCCCAGACATGCCCAGAGCACCATTTATCTAACTTGTGTTTTGTTTCCTCCTTTCCTGTCATTTCCTTGCTTTCTGCTCTTTTCCATTGCCTCTTTTTTTCCCACCGTTTCTCAGCTTCTTCCTCCTGCTGAGAAGGCTCAGCCCAAAAAACTGGCACCAGTACAGGTTCTGGAATACGGCGAAGCCATCGCCAAGTTTAATTTTAACGGTGATACCCAAGTAGAGATGTCCTTCAGAAAGGTAAGCCGCCCTCTCATACCACACCAGGGGACCCCCACCTTGGGGAGCGCTGTCGTCGTGGGGATGGGGTATTGGGGTGCTGGCCAGTCTGGTGGGGCAGTCGCACACCCAAGAGCTGTGCCCCATGAAGAATTGCATTGAGGGCAATTGAGGGATTTCTGCAGTTGAGTTTACTGATGAAAGGTGGTATTTCTGAAATCATAGATCCACCTCTTTTATAAACTGTATTCAATGTTTATTGAGCACCTAGTAATATGAGAAGCGCTGTGTTGGCAACTAGGTTATACAACGTTAATGTGGAGAAGGGAATGTCCTCAGACACCAGAAGTCTGAAAAACTTTGAAGACAAGAGTCATTGGTTATCAGGCGTGCAGCTTTTGGGGGGTTAAATAATTTTTCAGAGCTGTGATTTCCTCCTATGCAAAGTGAAGATAAATGGCCCTCTCCCTGAGCTGCCATGAGCAGATTAAATGAAGCAGCCTCAGGGAAGCCCCCAGTGTGACACATGACACCTAGTTGGCCCTTGGTGAGCAGGAGATGACACTGTTATCATTGCCTTCAAGGTGCTTGTACTTATTTTGAACACAGATAAGCCAGGTAGAGATACTGTTCTTTCCAGGAATTCAGAAACTCTCTATATGCCAAAATTCTCTGGCTGGCTGAAGGTACTGAAGTTAAGAATTTTACTGGGGATAGAGGGAAGTGAGGCTATGCCCTAGAAAAAAGATGAACCACCTTATAGAAAAAAGAAACAGTGGGAGCAACCTAGTTGCCCTACATCAGGAGACCAATAATTAAGCCATTATATGTATGTACAATAGAACACCTGCAGTGGGCCATTAAGCTGTGCACCACCAGGAGAAACATAGAATTATATTTCTTGATAAAGAAGGATGTATACTGTATGTTATTCAGTACCAAAAAAGCAAATTACAAAGGGGAATACAGTGCATATTGTTTTTATAAGAAAAAAATATATGCAAGTCTAATTCACATGGAATACCAAAATATTACCAGTGGTGACCCTCAAGTGATAATATTATAGGTAGTGATTATTTTCTGCCTTATGATTATGTTTTAATTTTCCTATAATGATACAGGAAAAAATAAAATGTTAGGAAAAGAACCCCCAAAACCTTTACCTTAGAGAAGAAGATTGGATATCTGTCTGTTTTGCATTGAGCGAGTCAAAACCACTAGATTTGGGGAATTTCCTGGTGGTCCAGTGATTAGGACTATGCTCTCACTGCCAAGGGTCCAGGTTCAGTCTCCATCCAGGGAACTATGATTCTACAAGCTTTGTGGTGCAGCAAAAAAAAAAAAAAGACAATTACATTTTCCTGTCAGCTTTGGGGAACGAGTCTGACCTTTTTTAGCGAAATATATAAAGACCAAGCTTAACAGACTCCCAGCAGCTCTGACTTCTGTTAGCATCTCCATCTCAGTGGTGATTAATTTCATCCAGGATGAGCACAGAAGGTTTTTCTGATAGAAGAACGTGACAAGTAATGCAGGAGAGCACAGACCACAGGCAGGGATCTCAGACGTGCTGAGGTCTGCTAGGGCAAGGACCACTGCCTCGCTGTGTCTTGCAGGGCGAGAGGATCACACTGCTTCGACAGGTGGATGAGAACTGGTATGAAGGGAGGATCCCAGGCACGTCCCGGCAAGGCATCTTCCCCATCACCTATGTGGATGTGATCAAACGGCCACTGGTGAAAAACCCCGCAGATTACATCGACATGCCTTTCTCCTCCTCCCCAAGTCGTAGCGCCACTGCAAGCCCTCAGGTACCTAAGCTTCTCGCCACTGGTTTTCACACTCAGCACGACAAATCTAAGTGCTAATGGCACACAGCCCCTCTGGGGTGGGTCTGCAGCAGTGCAGAGAGTATACATCCCAGGGTTTGTTTTCATGTATACAAATGGCATTTTTCAAGAATTTGCTGGGAGAAATATTATCTCAGGGAAAAGGAAGCACTTAAGGTGATTGCTCTGGGGACAAGATGATTAGGGAGAGATGTGTCTTTTTCAGTTGGTCCAAAACTCTGTTCTGGCAGCATCCCATGCTGAGTGAAGCTGATTGTCTGGGTACCACCGCTGTCCCATACATACCATGGCCAGTATGGTTCTCTTAGTCATCTTACTGGTCAAGATTGGCCTGCAGAATACAAAGACTGAAAGAATTTCACGTCCTCATCCTCAGACACATAGACCAGATTCAGAATATTCTTTGCAGTCAAGAACTGGGTTGCAAAAAAAACTTACAGCATCTCTGTTTATGGGATGAAAGGAAGTAGATTTATAAGCATAATTTGGTCTTTGCTTCCTAAACATTAATTATGAACAAACTTATTTTAAAATATAAATTATTCCAAACCCATCCCCACTGTCCCAAAGCCAAGGAAAAAAACCAAACCTTGGGTTCAGGAGAGGCACAGTGGGGTGACTTCTGTGAAAGACTGACCATAAGTGGTAAGTTACAGGGAGGATGGTCAGGGGAATAAGAGCAGGACCTGGGGGTCCAGAATGACACTTTCCTCTCAACCTCTAATGAGTTCCTCCTCTCTCACTTGCCATTGCTGACCCCAGAAGATGGTTCTTGGCTGAAAGCATGAGATAGGCTGACCCAAGGATTCTTTGCACGGCGAGATCCAGATCCTGTGATCTCACAGGGAGAGAGTGGGAGCCGGGCATAGGGCATTCTGCTTCGTCACAGCATGAGGAACACTGCTAGATTTTATGCTTGACTGTAGCCAAGTGCAACTATGAAACAAGATGGCTACACTGCTCCTACACCTCTCTGGAAGGTTCTTCACTGAACCCCCTAGAGAGAGTAAATGCTCAAGAAGGGCCAGGAGCAAGGACCTTTTTAAACTCTCTTTACTGAAGTATAGTTGACGTACACTGTTAAATTCGTCTCAGTGTACAACATAGTGGTTCAGCCAGGCCACCTTTCTCTCCTCATGGCTCTGGGTCAGGGCTTCATTGCAGAGGCAGTTGGATGGAGTGGGGGTAGGGAGCTCCCAGTGTGTCCCTTTAAATCTGATTCTGCGGACCAGCCAGCAGCATCTGTTCCTGTCCTAATGGGACCCTTTCTCCCGTCTCCATGCCACCTGCTTCTCCATCCTCCCCCACCTGCACATACCCATGCATCCACACACATGGACCCACATCCACATCCCAGGTTCTCTCCCAGCCTGACCAGATGATTTCCTTTCTGGACACCAGCGTGCCCTGTTCATCCTCTCCATTTTGTTCCTCTCTGGACATCCCGTGTGATTGTTTTCCTCCTTTATTCTCTGTGCTGACACTTGTGCCTTTTACTTCTTTTGTTTTCTTCTCTCTCCTTCTCTTTTGAAGTTTTCTGGTCACAGCAAGCCGCTCATGCCAGCCCCCTCATCTCTGCCCCACCCCCGCCGAGCCCTGTCCCCGGAGATGCACGCTGTCACCTCTGAGTGGATCTCATTGACTGTAGGGGTCCCGAGCAGGCGTCCTCTGGCCCTGACCCCACCCTTGCCTCCTCTGCCCGAGGCTTCTATCTACAGCAGTGACCCCCTGGCCTTGTTTGCAAGGCCCAGCTCCTCGCTGCCCCTCAGCCTTCCCCGTTCGGGCTGGTCGGACCGGTCCACCCCACACTCAGCGGTTTCCCCGCTGGCCCTGCCACCTCCGCACAAAGCCCACTCCCCAGCGCCCGGGGCCCAGGCCTCCCTCCACGTCAATGGAGACAGTGGTACCTATGTGCAGCCTCCGGGGGTCCTCCAGGATAGCTTCTCCCAGCCGTGGCTTGGGCGATCTGACAGGGTCATCTCGGAGCTTAGCGACGCCTTTAGCAGCCAGGGTAAGCGGCAGCCATGGCGAGATGGAAATGGAGCGCGTGAGAGAAAAGCAGAAAGGGAGGCGGGTGAGAGATGCCCAGGTGGACCCGCCATCTCTAAGAAGAGCTGCTTGAGGCCGTCAGACGTGGTCAGGTGCCTGAGCACCGAACAGAGACTCACAGACCTCCACACCCCAGAGGAGAGCCGGCCCCGCCAGCAGCCCCTGGGGGGCCCTTTCTCGGGAAGGGAGGCTGAACGCTCAGAGCTGCAGAGAGGTGGTGAGCCGGCCGAGAGGAAGGCCGCTCGGACGGGTGCGAGCCAGGTAGGCCTGCAGCATGACCGTGTGTGCCCAGGCGTCTCGGGCAGCGGGACAGCCTCACCCACAGCCGAGTGGATGCCCGCGAGACCCGTTTGCTTGTTTGGAAACAAAAATATGACCCAGGAGGGAATGGAGGGGTCATCCATTAGGTTGTCAGGGCTGGAACAGCTGGAGGCCAGGGACAGTCTGTATTCTGGCCACTCGAAGTGATTCCAAAGTAAGCCACACTGCTGGGTACCTCCTGGCCTGGTGCGAAAACCCACAAGAAGGCAGGCCTTCCTCCTGGCCCAGCTGCACCTGGGAGAGGACCCCGGGTTTGCTCTAACACAGCTGAGAACACCAGGCTTCAGTTTGGCTCCGTGTGGTTTGGTTTTGTGTGCGTTGCGCTTTGTTTCCATAACCCGTGGCGCTCTGTCTGCCAGCGCTTAGCCCCGTCGGGTCTCCGTCCTGTCTCATGTTTGTGTGGGAGCTGAGCTGCTCACTGATGGGCACATAGGTCTTGGTTTGCGGGGGGGATCGACCCAGTGCTGGGGTCCTTGAAGGATAGGCCAGGTTTTTAGGCAACTGTCCCATTTTCTGTCTGGGATAACTACAAAGATTTTGGGGTTTGGACTGAGGTGGCCCTAGGATGTTTTGAGGGCTTAAAAATTGGGGGCAGGTGGTGGGGAGGTGAATGTGGCAATTAGATCATGGTTCTAATACTGGCTATGCTGTTTAATACCCCAGAATTCAGAGCCTTTGGGTAGCTTCTTCAAAGTAGCTGAGTCTGAATGCCTGCTCCCCTCTACTCTCTAGTGATTTGGAATTGAGTCACTTTCCCCTTCTCAGCCTCAGTTTCCTTATCTGTAAAATGGAGATAATAACTCCCTCACAGTCTGGTTGAGAGGATTTCACGAATTGATGCATGTCAAGTGCTAAGCATAGGGGCTGGGCATGGAACACATCAGCACTTTATAAGTGGAAGCTCTCCACCTTGGAGCTTCTGGACCTGAGAACATTTTAGAATGTCTTTTGAACCAGATGGAATTCTTGAAGATGTCTCCAAGCCATTTATTATCTACTGTGCACAATGCCCATGGTAGATGATGATGTTTAATCTCAGTTTCCCTTTAAAGTGTCGTTTACTCAACAGATACTCATTAGAGGCCTGTAGACACCTCCCTCTGGGCAGGATACAGGGTTTCCCATTCTGCCTTTGAGGAGCCTGTGCTTCAGGGAGGCTGGCGCGCACAGCTGCAGAGGTGTGCCTGGAGGCTGCAGGAGCCTACGGCCTGAAGCACAGGTTTGGCCAGACCTGCGGCCCCAGCCTGATGCTGGGGAGTGGGGCGTCATTGCTGCAGGGAAGGACAGCGTGAGATAATGGTCAGTAGTCAGTCTCTAGCTCCCCACCGGCTTTCTCCTGTCCAAAGTAGGAGTGCAATTTGTCTCTCACTCACAGGACAGTGTAAGGATTAAAGAAGGTAGGTGTGGTGCCTGGCAGGCGGGAAGGCTCCCTGAAGTGGGACGTTGCTCCAGCTCTGAGGGCAGTGCTGAGGAAATAGCCATACCTGGGGAAGGCTTTGCCTGGGCAGGTGTTCCCGGAAGGCATGTTCTGTGAGGAGAGAAGGGTGTGTCCAGTCAGGGAAAGAAATAATTTGCTGGGGGAGAGGTGGAGAAGCGACTGATGGGAAAGGAACAATTCTGGAAAGGTTCTAAGTCAGACCTTGGGGCCTGGAGACCTCCTCGTGGTTGGCGGTGAGTCATTGCAGCCCAGAGCCAGGACCCAGTGCACACAGGACGCGTACACAGTGCTCGGAAGAGGCTGGGGGCACACGCCTCCCACTTCCTCACTAGGAGAGGAGTCGGCGTGCTGCCAATACAGAAAGCCAAGCTTGTTGAAAACTGGTTTTTCTTTCCTGGTGGGCCTCCGGGCCCCAGGTGCACCCCTTCCTATCCCCTCCCTCTTGCTCTCCCAACAAAACACTAGACCCTGGCCTTACTCCATGTTGAGAGCCGGGGGGTTATGTGAAAACGGCTGCTGCCCACACACTCCGTCACCAATTCCTTCACCTTCCCCTCCTAGGACTGGGACCTGGAAGCCAGCTTGGGAAATGAGGTCCTTCCAAGGAAGCTTTCTGCCTTTTTTGAGGCCCTCTTGGGCTGACTGAGCACAAGATGGGAAGGGCTTGAATGACAGGTATTCTCTGGTGACCCAGTGACCTCAGGCTGTGGCACTTACTTGAAAAAATGCATTCCAGACCTGCTTGTATTATCAAGAAAATTGTCAGCTGCTCTTGTCCTTGCTGGGGGCAAGGAGCCGAACCAATAATTCAACTCTGTTATCAGTGTTGGGGACCTAGATAGATATTCTGATCTATAAGTGGAGGGAATCTAACCAGAGAGCAAGAAAAGACACTCGGAAGTGTTTCGACCATTTCCTCTTCTGTTTGAGTGCCTAGGATGTTCCAGGCACTATGCAAAGTGCTGCAGGAAGCAGAGAGGGGTGAGCATTGTCAGGGGCCCCCTGCTCTCAGGAAAGTCTCTCCTCCTTCCTGGGCTTAGAAGGCCTCATGGAACTGGCTGTTTTGACAGCTAAACCAGCCTCACCCTCCCAAGTCTCCCCTGCTAGTGCGTCTGGAAAATTTCCACCCGTCCTTTACTTCTCCACTCCTTCCAGGAAGCCTTTCCTGCCAACTTTCCCCTCCCCCTGCAAGACTAGATTAAATGCTGGACTTTGTGCTTTCACAGCCCCCAGCACCTGATCTAAGGGGCACTTATCAACTCTATTGTATTTGTCCCTTTGTCTGTCACCTGGCAGGGCGCAAGGGACCAGGACACCTGATACGAGGAAGGTGCTCAACAAGTATTTGTTGAGTGAAAGCAAAGATACATTATGAATGACCCCAACTAAAGGAGCGTAGATCTCTACTGGGGGATAAGACATGTTCACGAAAATAATTATAAGGTAGACCAGGAAGGAGGGTCACAAACAGTTTCCTTGGGGAGTTCAAGATGAGGAGAATAAGCAAGGGGTGGGGGATGTGGGGTGAGGTGGACAGATTTCAAGAGAAAAGTGACTTCTGGTTTGGAGCTTAAGGAACTGGGAGTTTTATGATAGGTGAACAGCAGGGCAGCATTTAAAGCAAGCAAATAGCCTAGCTAAGCCCCAGGGGTAGGAATGTGAAAGGGCAGGTGAGTTCTGGTTTCAGTGGGGCTTCTGTGTCCGCAGGTGGGGAGAAGGGGCTGTGAGCAAAGCTCGAAGGGCTGGTTGGTGCACATGTAGATACTGGTCAGCACCTCCTCACAGAGTCTGGTCATCCTCCACAGGTCCTATGACCCTTGCTAACTGGTCATCCACATTCCCTACTTGGTGCTAGCCCCTGTTCTGCTGCTTTCTTTCTCCTTAGTCACCTGTCCAGCCCATCCCACAACCCCCAACTCTGCAGATGTATGAGCACTTCCTTGTGAAGGGTTTGACTTTTCACTCTTGTAGACTCCCAAGCTGATGTGACCTTGGGTTGGTCGTGCATGTTTTTAGCTAGGAGTTCTCTGAACAGCAGAAGGGGGTGAATGAGGGGCAAGGGGCATTTAGAGGAAGACAGGATCAGTGGGAAGAGTGCTGCATTCAAAGTTAGGGTTCCTGGGCTATTTCTCCTGCCTTGCCATGAGCCTGCTGTGGGTCTCTGGGTGAGTCACTTCCCTTCTCTGGCTTCACCATCCATAGACAAAAGATCTAGACAAAGCTGACTTCTTGTTAGTTTTGATACTCTCTGATTAACTAAAAATCCTGTGTGAATTTCAGTTATAAGAAAAGAGAAGAAAGAATACAAAATTTTAAGGAGGGGGGTTTATAATAGACCTGTGGACCTTCATAGTGAAAAAAATAAGTGTTTCCCTTTGTTTTTTGAGGGACAACTAATTGGACAAAAGTATACAAAATGCCCAAGAGTTCGGAATTATCAACCAAGTTCCTGGGTTTTGTTGAGCATAATTTTGGCTAGGAAGATTTAGGACAATTGGTCAAGAAAATGAAGGAGAAGATGGTCTTGGGATTCTCCAGCATTCATCAATATTTTCTGAGCCTTCCCCAAGAGAGAAGCACTGTTCGCTGACTAGCCTCCAGATTTAGTTGTTAGGAGCTTCTATAACTGATGTAAGAGATCCTCATAGAATTTTTTACTTTAAAAGAATCTTTAAAGTCACTCCAGTGACTTGTAACATTTTCTGGATCACAAAACTTTTGAGAATCTGAGGTTAGCTGAGTCTAGCCCAGGGGTTTGGGAAAGAGGGTGGCGCACACACAATTTTGCTTAATTATAACAGTATAATCTGGGGGAATAATTTTTAAATAAAAGTATTCAGGAAAGCTCTGTGTCCTCAAAGCATCTGAGAAGCGTAAGAACAATACTACAGCCTTGGAGAAAGGAGAGTGGGAAGGGAAACAGGACAGAAAAAATGTGCTTTGGTGAGCTCAGAGGGAACAGCCCTTACCACATGGAGACTAGGTGAGTTCCCAGAACTAAGATAAGAAAAAAGGTGTAGGCCTGCCTTGAGCATAGAAATCAGAAATAAAAGGGAAAGCATGTGATACAACTTACAAGAATGAAAAGGAAATTTAAATGTTAAAACACCCACCTAATAAGGGGAAACATTTTCCTTTGACTCCCTGAGAAGGGAAATCTCTAAATATACACACAGTGTTCAACAATGTACAGGGTGGGGAGAGACGCTGGTTGCAGTCCTTAGAAAAATCACCAGCAGGTATGTATATGCTTAATAGTCAAGGCCCAGGGAACTAAGACCTGAAGTTTCAGTATCCACCCCAAAAGAGGTGTTAGGAGAGAAATGGAGGATTTCAGTAGAAACCCAGCTCATGCCAGCTGCAGGGCACGGGTCAACTAAGGTGGCCTCTTGATCAGCACTTCCATCCAGCTATTCGGATATCTCCCTCCGGCAGAGCACAGCCTGGCAGATCAAGCATGATGGGAGGTGTGGGACCTGGAGTCAGAGAGACCAGGGTCCAA